CAAAAGATTATGTTTCTTTAAATGATGACTTATTTTAGTAGACTATAAACAAATTGAGCTTAATAATTAATAATAATTATAAATGAAATAATACTTGTTTATATTATTTTTTTTTATTTTATATATTATATTATTTTAAAATCTCAAAAAAATAAAAGTACATATAAAATTTTATATATAAAAATGATATAGTATTTAAAATAAAAGTAAAAAAATAAAAAATAAAAATATTCTTAATTTTATATTTAAAATTAATATAAAATATTATACATATTATATAAAATAAGAATAGAAAAATAATATTTATTGATAATATATATATATTATATATACATATATATATATTATATCATCTTATTTACTTTTTATTATATTATCTTAAAATTCTCTAAATTTAAATAATAATTAGACTTTTTATATAATCAACAATATATTTAATTACATATATTAAAAATTTTATTAGCTTTATAAATATTAAATTATTTTTTTATTCTAAAAATATCTATGTTCCTTTATTTAATTATAAGTTTTTAACTTTTAAATCAACTTTTTTATATATATATTTAAAAAAAAAAAATTTTTACTATGTAAATAATAATATGAAAATTTATTTTCATCAAATAAATGCATACTTTGTAAATCTAAGCTATTAATTTTGAATAAAAAAAGTCCTGTTATTATTTTATTCAATTATTAACTATAATCAGTTTCTTTAAAAACATATGTTATATTATTTTTCGCTATTTATATTTTATTGTATATTATAATTAAAAAAATATTTTTGCATAATTTTATATTTCCACTTATATTTTTTAATTTCTTTCGGCCTATAATCTTAATTGATTCTTAATATAAATTCTCATATATATATTCAACAAGTCTATTCTACTTAATTTATCCTACTTCAATAGTTCTTGTAGACTTCAATATAAATACATTATCATTATTTGAACGTAATATATAATTCCTATATTATTATATTAGCTTTTTATTTATTATCTAATCTCAGAAATATTTTTACTATTAATTATTTTAAACAAATTTTAAAGCTTATAATAAACTATTTTTCTATGTTTTACTTAAATAATATAATAATCTCCAATATAAGCTAAATCTTAAAATCTATTAAAAGTAATATAATTATTTTTCTTGAATTAATTTAAACATAAAATAAGTATAAAATTCTTTTCTTTATTTTCGTATTTATTTATTTATAGTTGTAGCCATACTATTTATTACTATAAATTTATGGTTTAATCATTTTTATTTTGAATTTTTAAAACTTTTTTTAACTATTTTATAAATTTTCTTAATAACACTGTTTTTTCATTTATATAATAAATAATTTAAATCAAAATAAAAATATTTATTTCAAACTAAAATTATATAAATCGATATTAATGCACCCTTAATATACAATAAGTTTTTCATTTTTAAAGTACTGCTACTTTCCATTTTTAAAATAAAAAATTATTTATTTTCGATATATTAATTAAAAGAATAACGATCTATTATTACATATTTAATTTATCATCTTATTAGAACTTTTTTTAAGTAGCCAAATTTCAAAGTTTTTTTTTTTTTTCATATTTTAAAGTTCTATCTTAATTTATTAAAAAAAAAGTATTATTAAACTTTCAAAAGATTATTAACTATATCCTCAATTTCTTTTAATAAAATAAGATCATCTTTTAAAAAATAAATTGATATATATTTTCTATATATCAATATTACTAGAAATTCTATTAAATTGATATTATCTTGAATAATATTATTATTTTTATGTAAAATTTAATGATTGCCTAAAATTCATTTGATTTAAATAATTTAGAAATTCTTATTCCCCTAATTTGTTTTTAGAACTTTTGTTTTTAAAAGATAAAAATTATATATATTAAATTAAATGAATAATTTATATAAATTATAAACTAAAACCTTATTTTTTGTAATTATAGTTATGCATTATGTAAATATAATACATAAAAATTTATATTTAATATATTTTGCAAAGTAAAAAAAGAAGAAAAAAGTAAATTTAACTGATATTTAGAATAAAATTAAGTTATTAAATTAAATTTTTTAAAAATAGTATATAATTAAAATATAAAATAAAGAAAGTGCAAAAACTTATATATTTTTTCTAAATAAAATATTAATTTAAATATTTTATTTTAATTAATACATAATAGAATTATTTAAATTTATTTAAATATTTTTTTTAATTAATTTCTTTATTTTTTTTATAAACACTTAAAAAGTAATTAATTTAATATAATAAACTGATTTACAAATAATGTCATCTATTTTTATAATATATTACTGTTTTTTTTTTTATTTCTTAAAATATATTGCATTTATTTTATAAATAAATATCTCATTTCTTAAAAAAAATAATAATAATAAAACAATAATTTTATAATTTTTTATAATATTTTTTTTTTTAAAAAAAAAAAATAATAATTTGAAAAAAATAAAAAAATATGAATTTTCTATAATTTAAAAATTAGCATTCACCAAAAAATTAAAATATACAAAATGAATAAATTTATTTTAAGGGATAAAAATCAAATTTAATAATATAAAAACCAAATTAACAAATAAAAACAGTTCGTTACGAAACCGAGCCTTCTCCAATTACGAATTATAAAGGCTCTCCTTTAAAATAAATACAATATAATCAAAAAAGTATAGAAAATACTCAAAGCATAATATAATAATCACCTTTAAAAAGTTAAAAAAAGATAGTTAAAGAAGTTCATTTAATAGTCAAAGGAACACAATAGATGTTGAATTTTCATTAATTGAAGATATGCTTAGTGATAAAAATGAACAAATATAAAATATTAAAAACGAATTATTTTTTATAAATAGTTAAATAAAATAAGAGAATCATAATAAAAATTTTCAATTTGATAAAACCAAAATTATTAATTCTTTAGAAGATAAATTAATGGAGAAAAGCAAATATTTAGAAGAAATTTAAGAAAAGAAAAAGAGTTAATAAAAAATACTTCATCTAAAGGAAAAAGATCATGAAAAATGGGAAAAAAATCATTCTTTTTTGCGTAAAAAATTAATAGAGATTTAAGGTGAAGGAAAAAAATGTACTGTATTAAAAGAAAAGATTATAGAGAAATCAAAAGAGAATTTCTCATCAAAATATTTATAAATGTAAAATATATATTAGAAAGTAAATGATTAGTATGAAACTTTTGTACAAAATATAAATGTACTTGAAGAAAAATAAAATATTCTATTTGAAACTAAAAGCTTTTTGAAAGAAGATTTAAATGGAAAATTAATATAAAGGGCAGAATATTTGGCATAAAAAGAAGTATTGGAACAAATATAGGCTTAGTTTTTGGCAACCTATTCCGAAGAATTCTCTTATATGAATAAATTTTAGTAAGTAGATGCTTAAATTTAAGAATCCGATGTTTTAATTAATTAATATAGGCAAGATATGTCTCATAATGAAAACTTTATTAGTGATTTAATAGAAAATTTAACACAAAAATAATAAAATTATATGCATTTTTGTAGCTAATTAGAGTTGGTGTAAAATTAGATAGAAAAAGAAACAGTTATTTATTAATAAAAAGGAGAAATTGATTTTAATTTGTTAGAAAATATATGCAAAAGCTTTCTTTTGGAAAAAAAGTAAATAAAAAACTAAGTTTAATATGAAAAAAAAATGGAGTTTTTTAAAATATTTAACAATTAATAAAATTAGTTAAAAATGAGATTTTTGGACTGGAAGAGTTTATGGAATTTACAAAAGGAGAAAATAAAGAAAAAATAAAAAAATATATAGAAAATAAAATGGAGATTGAAAATATTAAAGATAATTACGGATAGAAAGAAAACTTTTTAATTGATAATATAGAAAAACTAAATAATGAGATATTAAAAATTCAAAAAACTTTGTGTTAATAATAATGTAAACATGAATTTAATAGCTAATTAATAGAAAAAGAAGAATAATTTAAGAAAAAATATATTGAATAATTATAAAACTTAGAAGAAAGTGTAAATATATATACATATAAATAAGCTAATATTCTTTTTGTAAATTATTTGGAGTAAAATGGAAGCTCTTTTGATGTTTTGGAAGAATAATATGGAGTAGAATAGGTAGAAAATATAAAAAAGGACCGCTTGGAACAATTTTTTGATTTAGTCAAAAAAGGATAATAAGAAAGAGTAGAGAAAATAAGGGAAATTTAAAAAGATTAAGATTATTTAGAAAAAGTAGTACATAATAATATTTAATATGTTGAATTTGTTATATTACCTTCTTTGAAAAATCTTATTGGAGAAATTTTGTAAGGAAAAAATAGTATAATTTTAATGTAATAGGATTTGGAAAATTTCAAATAAAATAGAGCTAAAATACAATAAGACATGTAATTTTTGGAAGATTGTTTAAATTAAGAAAAATAAGAAATTGAAAATGGTATAAATTATGATTTTGAATAAATATAATTTTAATAAAATCAAATATAAAATGATATTCAATAATGTATAGTTAATATGTAATAAGAAAGAAACTAAATCATATCAATTAAGGAGTTCCTTAAATAGAATGATATTTAGGAAAAATAAATTTTAGAAGATATATAAAATATTATAAATAATAAAAAAATAATTGATTCACTTAAAAACTCTAAAAATTCTATAAAAGATGAAATTTAAAAAAGGGAAGTGCTTATTAATAATCTTCAATAATAAATCATTTAATTATAAAATAGAAAACAACTCATTATTTCCACATAAATAAATAAATAAAGTTTTGTCAACAATTAGAATAGTCCAGGTAAAATTTAAAGTCCTTTTTGTAAAAGAAATGAATTTATGAGTTCTTTCAATTTGTAAAAAAATGCATCCCCTGCCAAAATTAGTATAAATGTAAATACAGATAATTAAATTATGAGTGATTATGGATCTCCTAGAAATTTCGGATAAAACTCTAATTTTTTACATGGATAATAACTAAATAAATGCCCAGTTTAGTAGGTAAGCTCTTCAAGAGATAATGTATGCAAAATATTTTCTTATTTATAGAATAAAAATAAGGAAAATATGTAGTAATGATTTTTATTCATTAATATATATATTTTATTTATTATTATTTTTACTCCATTTTTTTATTAATTAATTTTTTGTTGTTATGTATTAAAAAATAGATTATATATTTTTTTTTTTTTAAAAAAAAAAAGGGCTTCAAATAAAAGTTTATTTATAAAATTACATTTTATTTTAAAAAAATTAAAATAATAAAAAATTTATATTTAATTGAAGTTTTTTATTCATTAATATGAAAAAATACAAAATATTTTTATTTTTTTTCAAAAAAAATATATATTAATCTTCGAAAATGGAGATTGTATGTAATCATTTAGTTTTAAAAGATTACGAAATTAAATTATAAATAATTAAAATTTGATATATATATAAAAAATAATTATCTAAATAAAATGTTAGGATTCAAATTTATTATTGAAAGATAGCTTAAAAGAAATTAATAAAATTTCAATATTGGCTAAATTATATGAAATGTATTAAATATTATAAGAATTATAATAATTCAAAAACAGATAAATTTGAATATTTATTAGACCATGATAATTTTTTAAAATAATTATTTTTATGTAAAAGAATGTAAATTTTTTTTAATTACTTAAAATGTGTTTATTAATATTAAGTTCTTAAATTTTATTTTTCAGAATAATAATATATGTTTCTTTTATTTTTAAAAAAAAATTAATATATTAAATAATCTTTCTTTTTTTTTAATTTATTTATAATAAAATATTCAATAAATGAATTCTTAAATTTCTATATATAGTGATGATTTATAATGCGAAGGTTATATTATAAAAATAATATTAGCTGGTGATGAATGTAAATACAAAAAATAATTATTTATATATTAATATTAGTTGTTGGAAAAACCAGTATTTTAAAATAATTTAAATATAAAACCTTTTGCGAAAGTTATTGTAAAACAACAGGATATGAATTTTAAAGTAAAGAAATAATACGTAATAAATAATAAAATTAAACAATAACATTATAAATATGGGATACTGTAAAATAAATAAAAATAAAAATTTAAAAAAACTAATTCAAGTCTGGATAATAATAATATAGATATTCTTAAAATTAGTTATATAATAATTGCTCAGCTGTTATTTTAGTTTACGATGTAAATAAGTAAAATATATAAATTATTAAATTTTAGAATTAAGTTTTTTAAAAATTATTATAAAATAAAGTGATGATTCTTTTAAAAACCTTTAAAACATTATAAATGAAATAAAATAAAGATAGAATAAAAATATAATATTTGTTTTATTAGGAAATAAAACTGATTGCGAATAAAAGTTTACTCAAATATTAATATTTTTCATTAAAAATATATTAATTACTTATTTTATTTTAGAAAAATATCAATAGAAAAGACTAAATAATTTTGTAAATTAAATGATATATAATTATTTTTCGAAACGTCCGCAAAAACAGGAGAAAATATTGATAATGTTATTTTAAAAATTAATTAGTATTATATAAATCCATAAAAAAGGTATTCGAAACACTTATAGAAACCATATAAATTAAAAAAAAAAATGATATATAAAATCTATAAATATAAACATCTTCAGAAAATATAATTGAAAATATAGGAATATAATAAAATTCTCTATAAAATTTATAAGGGCAATAATTAAATGAAAATATAAATTAATATCTAATTAAAAATAGTGATAATAAAGTAAATAAAAAATGTCCATGTTGTTAAATATTTTGATATTTTTAAATATATTTTTAATTATAAATAAATTTAATCATTTTAAATCTAATCTTTTATTTAAAATTGCTTAACGCATTCTTGATACATCTGTTTTTCCTTAATATTCTCCTGACTTCAAAGCTATATTTTTTATTACTTTTTCCCATACATTGTCTTCTTTATTTGTAGCTTTTTATTTGTTCTACTAATATATTTCTTCTTATTATTTATTTATTTATAAATTTGTTAAGATTTACAGTTATCTTTTTCTTATATTTTTATTTCATAAAAGTATAAATTTTTATTCGTTTTTTTTTTTTTTTTTTTTTTTTTTTACTATTTAAATTATAATAAATATTCTTTAGCTCTTTGTCTTTTCTATTCTTTGGCTTATTTTTCGTCATTCTTTTTTAAATTTAATATTTTAAATTTATTTTATTTACTTGCTTTTATATTAATTATTAAAATAATAATTCTTCATTCTTTTAAGCTAAAGTTTTTTAAGAAGAAACTTCTTAAATTTATTATGAATTTTAATCAACCTATAAATCCTAAATTTATTATTATTCTTAATCTTAGTCGTAAAATTAATATTCTTAATTATATTATTATTAGATTTAGTCTTATTATTATAATTACTCTTATTATTATTATTCTTCTACTTAAATTTATTCTTATTACTCAACAACCTATTATGCTTATTATTAACTAGTATTTATATTAAAACTCATCATATCTCCTATGTTTTGAGAACCTTGGCTTCCCAAAACGATTTATATATCGGAGTCTCCTCCATATATTTTAGGAATAGGAATAGGATTTTCTAATGAACCTTCAACTCCTTCAATCTTTTTTTTTAAATATTTTTTTGTTTTTTTATAAATTATAAATACTTCTTTAATTATTATTCCTGGGTATTAATTAGGAGGTAATAAATCCCAATTTTTACATGAAGAATTTGGAGTAAAATCGAAAACTTAGCTCCATTTATCTTCATCTACATTTATTTATAAAATATTTTGTATATTTTTAAATAAAAAACCTGGTCTAAGCTCTGATAATTAAAAATGTTCTTTAAATCCAGGATATATGAAATTATAAGGGCCCAAAATTAGACCAGATGTATTTTCTAATGTAGGATCACTTTATGAATATATTAAAGCAGAAATACTTTTTTTTTTTATTTATTTTTTTTTAGAAAAAAAAATTAATTTTTTATTTACTTTTTACTATCAGATATTCTTAATTGGGCAGAAGAAGAATGTAATTAAATATCTATTTTTTTATTATTTTAAATAAATATTTATTTTTACCTTAACAATCACGCACAAATATAGAACCTTTCGTTGGACCTATGTATACTTTGCAATTTTTACAATCATCAACAAATACCTATTTTAATATTTTATTTTTAATTAAATTATTATGTACTTGTGCTAAATAATCAAATATGTATATTTCGCAATTAATACAATTAGATATAGCAAAGTCAGAACCATTTAAACTTCCAGGTAGTTTTTATAATGTCTGATTTTCTTTTCTTCTAAAATAAAAATTAGATTTATCTTTTTTCATTTTTTTAGTATAAAAATATCTAATATGTATATTTATGAAATATTTTTTTAATTAAATTAATTATTATTAGAACTTCTTTATATTTAAAACTAAAATAATATATTTTTTTAAATATTAATTTTATAAATTTAAATAATTTTTAAAAAATACAAATACAAATCTTTTTATGTAAAAATTTGTATTTTAACCAAATATTTTATTTATAATGTATATTTTTTAAATATAAAAAAGATTTAATTTCTTAATAAATATTTCAATTAAAAAAATAATAAAAAAAAAACTTTTCAATTTGCAAAAATATGATCCCAATTAGCAATATTGAAAATAATGTAAAAGTAAGGAATTAATTAAAGAGAATATTAAAAGAAGAATTAAAATTTTGTTATATATACGATTTTGATTAAAATTAAGTTTTAGGTTTAACAAAAAAGAATATTTAATATATTTATTGGATATTTAAATGTCTGGTTTAGTAAAAAGATGTGAAAGTTGGATAAAGGAAAAATATATTATTAAATAAAGTTAACCATAAAATCAATCGTCTAAAAATAAGGAACAAAACACTTAATATTGTGTAAGATTAGAAAGTTATGGACATTCGAAAAGAGATAGAATTACTTTAAGCATAAACCCTTTATCTTTTGCCTTTGGAAAAATAATGGTGGATTACGTATTTTTGTTTTTCGAAAAAGAGGAAGATAGTAAAAAAAAACTAATCGTAGAAATATAAAATTAAATTAAAAATTAAAGATTTTATGAGGCTTAAAAAAGAATCGATATGTTTTTTGAAGTTTATAATGATAGGAACTTTTTTGATTAAATTGAAAATTTTTAAAAAAGTATAACTAAATAAAAGTAGGAATAAATATAATATGAAAACGCTATTTTAAAATAATAAAACATAAAAAATTCTAATAATTAAAATCATATTCAAAATAATAATAAGAAAATTAAAATTATTGTCAAAAGCAAAAATATTAAAAAATAAAAAGATAAAACAAAAGAAAAATAATAACAATAACTTAAGCCAATTATTAAAAAAAAATAGTAAATATGATAATATATTTATTTGATTTTTTTTAAATATATTTTTTATATATCTTAAATAAATGTGATAAATATATATATTAAAATCAAATATATATATATATAAAATAATATAAATTATTATTTTAATTTACATATATTAAGTCATATTAGATTAAAGCTTTTATTAACTAAAGAAGATTTTTGATTTAGAGAAAAATATAATAAAAGCTTTTTAGGCCTAAAAAAATAAAAGGTAGATAATAATTTAAGTCAAATCATTTTTTTTTTAAATAAGATTGAAATTAAATTAATATTTATAATTATTTTATAAGTTTAGAAAATTTTTAATCAATATTTATATTTATTTTATTTCGTATTTAATAAATTTATTCCATATTTCTACTTAAAATTAAATCAAGAAAATAAACTTATGAATTTTTTTAGTTTTGTGGTGTTTATTTTTTTATTTTATTTTTAAACATCTAATAAACATACTAATTTATCATATAAATAATTTGTTGATAAATTATTATTATAAATAATTTATATAATTTTAAAATTGTGTTTGTTTAAATTCATTTAGTATAATTTGTTTATAAAAAAAATAGTGTTTAAATTAATTTTTTTATTTATTTTAATATATATAAAAATTAATAACTATAAAAAATATGGTTTAAAATTCCCAAAATAATTTAAACTATATAATATAAACAGGATACATATAAAAGATAGCATAATTTTATTAAAAAATAATAATAAAATTAAAGATTAAAGTAATAATAACCTTAAGTTAAGAAAAAGAAGAAACAACAACAAAAATAATCATAATATATTATTATACCCTCTAGACTTTATCTAATTTTGTTTTTATATTTTATACAAATAAGTTAATTTAATATTAATAATTAAAAAAGTAAAGACATATAATTTTTTATATATTGAAAATTAACAGTTTAAAAAATTAAAGAGTATTTTTAAAAATTTCTGAAAAAAAACTAAAAGAAAAAAATATAATTATAGAATATATGGTGGTATTTAGTGGATAATATAAATTTAAGATAAATAATAGATTAAAGTATAATTAAATCAATAATATATCGATAAACATAAAAAGCAAGAAATAATAATAATTTCAATATTAATCATTGTATTTTTCGTCCCATTCTAAAAGCTATTATTAATATTATTCTAATTATTAATAATAAATGTCAAAAACACAAACTTTACAACCACTTCCACAACAATCACCTATCTCAGGCTCTTGTGGGGGAATAGGTTTTGGTGGAATCTATTTTATAGGAATGCTTACATCTTATTTATTATTATTTAATTCTTTGTCAATTTTCTAACTTTTATTAACATTTTAGGGCTAAAACTGATTTTATAATTCTTTTATGTATAATCTATAACTTTCTAAATTGAAATTTTTATTATCTAAAGTAAATAATGCTTATTCATCAATTAAAATAAAAATTTGACTTTTATCAAAAAAATATTTATAAGAAAAAGCCTTCCACTTAATAATTTTATCCATTTATGCTTCTTTTTATTTGTAATAAAAAAATATAAAAAAAATATTTATACTTATTTATTTATAAAAATATATTTAAGTTAAAAAATATAAAATAAAATGAAGTAAAATAATTTCTATTATATTATTAAATAATAAACATAAAGAAAAATTTTTGATTAAGCAATATATATAATAAGGATTAACTATAATGAAATATTTGATATTTTATTTGAGTTTAATTATTATTAAATTTTTTTTATTCTATAAATTTAATAACATAATAATTTATTAATAAAGAATTAAAATTATAACATTTAATTTATATAAAATAATATATATAAAAAAAAGGAAAATTTAATATTAAATGAAAATATAAAGATTATTAAATAAAAATATACTTTTTAATAATTTTAATAAAAAAGAAGACATAAAAAAAAATAGATTAATTTTAATGTAAAATTATTTTAATAGTTTTATTATATAAAATTATTAATTAAAAAAAATAGTAAATTATATAATATATATATATATATATATATATATATATATATATATATATATTCTTATATGCATATTTGTTTTATGTCTTATTTTATTTAAATAGTCTTTTTATATAAAATTCATTCTATTTTAATTTTTTAGTTTTCTAAAATTAAATTATATAATTCTTAACTAAAAAAGTATCCTTTTTTTTCATAAAACTATGCTTTAATAATTAAAGCAAATATAACATCAATAAAAAAATCAAAAAAAAAAGCTATAATAAAACTAAAAATCCACAAAACAGGTTAATAAACTTTCCATGAACTTAAAAAATAAATATTAATAATCCATTCTAAAATGCAAATTATTATACTTAGTTAATAAAAAATACTATTATATTTATAAATTTTAATTTTCGCTTATTTAATTATTTCAAATCCATCGTCTTCTTTTTTAATTTCGTCTTTAATTATTTAAATTTCATTCTCAAGTATAATTTTTTAATTTTTAAAATTTAAGAAGTTCAAATATCCTAATAGAAATCCTAGAGGCTAAGATAACAAATATGATAAGATACTTGAGAAAATGACAATTTAGGTATTTATTTTGATTTTCTACTAAAAATAATACACCAATATGCTGGATATAAATAAATATTGTATAATTTATGCCAAATAATGAGTAATTCTCAAATTACAGTTAAAATATTAACTTTATTTCACTTTTACAATAGAGAAAACAGGTATATAAGTCTTTTAGAAATATAAAATTTTTAAATTTGTTTTATATATACTTTGAAAGAATTTTGTATAGGGATTAACTTTTCATTTTAAGAAAAGAAAATAAGAATGAAATATATCAAAAAAAATATTAAATAAATCCATATAGCACAATTTTATTCATATTTAATATAGATCTTTTTTTTTATATATATTTATTTAATTTATATAAAAAAATTAAAAAATTACATAATTATTACTAAAGCATCCTAATTTAGATATTATTGTATTATCATATTGCTATATTTCTCTTAAAGCTCCAGCTTATTTGTTTAATATGCCATATTGAATATTAAAATAATCATAAATCGAATCTGAAATTTACATTCTTTAATCAAAAATAAACCAATTTACATTTGAATTTTCACAATTTTCAGCTATTTAAGTGCCTAAATAGAAATAAAAGCCATGTTGTTTCTTAATAAAAGAATATTTATCAAATAAAGATTCATTAAAATTAAATAAAATTTCCTAATTATCATTAAAAAATTATTATATAAAAAAATCTCCGTTTGGTCCTTCAAAATTAATCATATCATTATTTTTATTTTCTTTTTTATTCACAAAAAAAAAGCTTAAACCTGCGAATTAAATACTAGAAATATTTTCTTTTTCAGCTTTTAAAAAAAATACAAGTTCTATTTAAGGCTAGAAATTCGTTTCTTAATTCAAATTTTAAATTCTATGTCTTGAAGGGATATATATTTATATTTAATTTAAAACAAAAGTTTAATATATGTTCTCGGAATCTTTTACATTTAATTTCAACCCATAATTTGAAGAATTATTATTATTTTCGTAAATATATTATCGAAAATATTTATTTTCTTATTATTTAAGTTATACCGGATTGTTTTAAAATTCTAATATAAAATTATTTTCAAAATGATTTTGACATCTATATGTTTGTTTTATATTTATTGGAGATGAATTTTTTCCCTTTATTTGTTTTGTTTTTTTTATCAAAATAAAAAATATTTATTACATAACATTAAATATTTAAATCATTTTCGATTGATATTACAAACTTTAATATCATAAAAATTATATTTATTATTAAAAATACTTTCATTAACATTTTTTTTAATTATAAAGTAAATTAATTATTTTAATTTTATAATAATTTTTATGGGATTTTTTAAAATATAATAAATATATAATTTTAATTTCATTTTGAAAATTCAATATCTTCACATTTCATTTATTATATATCTCTTTAATTGTCTAAAATATTAACATTCATTTAATTTTTTTTTACTTAATATAATTTAAGTCTATCTATATCATCAATCTTTTGGTTTAACAAATTAAAATAATTATAAAAATATATAAATTTAAAATAATAAAAAAAAACTCACCTGTTTAGTTTAAGAACTAATCAATTTATTATTATTATTACTAGAATTTCCATTTTTAAATTCTGACTCATTAACTGACTTTTAAATAGATTAAAATATCAAAGGTCTTGTTTATTCAATTTTATTCCAAGAAGACATAACACCATTATTTTATTACTTTTAATTAATTAATTTATCTATGTTTTCATTGTTTTTCTTTTCTAAAGTAATAATATCAAAAGGTTTTAAAAATTCATCAGCTATTTTATTATAGTGTAAATGATTTTTGATTCTTATTTACTTTCGTTCATCTTCATCTATATTTTTCAATTATTATTCCTTTTCTATTGCATATCTTAAATTATATCTATTTTTCTTGTTTTTATTCTTTATGTCCAAAATTTTAATTATCTCAGGAATTTCTTTATTTAAATCAACTATTACAGTTTCTCTTTTGTTGTTTTTTTTATAATTATTATTAAAAATTAATTTATATATATACTTATTTCTTAGTGAAGGAGGAAGCTTTTAAATTTGTTATTTACCATGGTTTTATTATTTTTATTTCAAATCACTAAAATATAAATATATAATTATTTATTTGATTATAAGAAATAAAACTAAAAAGAATTATATTTATTTCTTCTTTTACTTTTATATTTATTTTTGTTTTTTTTTTACTCTTGGTATTTTTTTTCTAATTCATCATCTATATATTTCTATAAAAGAGGATTAAAATCTTACTTTCTATTAAATTAAACAACTTATTAAGAATTATTAATCTTTTTATATAATATATATATATATATTATTTTAATAAAATATATATACAAATATAATTAAAATATTATACAAAATGTAAAAACTACTTAATTATTAAAATATTGATTATTTATTATATTAAAGTCTCTTTATTTTTATAAATTTTCATTATATTTATTATTTTAATGTTTAATATAGTTTTGATCATTATTACTATAATTGGTTATAATATTAAATTGTTATTCTTTTTAGGGTTATTTTTATTTTAATTAAGAATTATGAAATATTTAACTATCGATATCGAATATTTAGTTTTAATTTATAGTTTACTTTTATTCTAAATTCAAAATATTAAAATTTTTATCATATTTTTATAAGACTTGATTTTATTTATCCTATTAAATTTAAATTTTCCTTTTTTAATATTCTTTCTCTTATTAATCCTTTAATATATATATATATATATATATTTTTTTTTTAAGTTTTAGATAAATTTAATTTATTTATTTTACTGCTTATTTATCCCTAAATATTCCTAAAATCGGGTCAAACTCATTTTCTTTTTATTTTATTTAAAGTGTTGTTATCTTTTTAGGTTTTGAAATTGAGAAATTAATTTCTTTTTTTATTTTGTATAATTTTCTATATCTGTTTTCCATTAAATAATTTCTTAAGGCGATTAATTCATTCTTTTTAATTTTATTTTTTTAAATAAATTTATCAAAAATATACAAAATAGCACACAATAAAATTTATTTTTATTATAATAATTAAGTTTTTTATAAAATATTTACAAATATAAATTATAAGAAAAAAAAAAATACATTAAAAAAATAAAAAACATAAAATCTAATAACTACTCCAACAAGAGCGATAATATTTTTAAAAAAATGCTTTTTTTTTTTTTCATAAATACTTCTCATCATTTTATTAAATTTTATCATTCAATCTTTAAGTTTCTTCATCAAAAAACATCAAACTTATTTCGTTTTTATTTTTTCCTTAAGTTTCTTTTACAAAATATTACACAAAAAATAAACATCCAAAACAAATACTAGCAAATATTGCAAAAAGAATCCAAAACTAACTAAATAATGGTAAAATAAAAGTAAGTAAAGCAACAGAAAACCAATTACATCCCGTAGCAATTGAAATTCCTTATTCAGGTAAAATTTCTGAATTATAAATCCAAACAACAGGTCCTAAAGAACAATTGAAAGCAGAATAAAAAGCCAAAATGAAAAAAAAAGTATAAAATTTTACATCAAAAAACGATAATAAACAAACAAAAGTCTAAAAAACTCCACACCAAAATACTCCTACTAACAGAAGTTTTTTTCTTCCTAATTCATTAATATATTTACTTGCTAAAAACCCTGAACAAAACAAAACCATATTTGAAAAAAGATTAAAAATTCTTTACTAACCTTCATCTTCAATAAAGCTTGCCAAGATCTACATACTATACATTATTATTGCACATATTCCGCTAAACTATTGAAATATTTATAAACTACAGCCTATTAAAAGCCTTTTTTTATACCTATAGCCGAATAAACTTTTTAGACTAATTTTAATTTATTATTTTGAATTTTAAATAGCCTATAATTCCTATTTAATATCTTCAATATATTCCTCTTTGTAAATTAATTATAAAATACAATATAATTCTTCTTATAATCCTTAGACTTTGTAATATAAAGGGGTTTCAAAATTAAAAAACGTCCACAAAATTAAAATTCTAAAAAGACAAAAAAAGCGGGCAATAAAAGCATGATTTTCCAATAATAAAAAATAAAAAAATCACCTTAAAAATAAACAAAAATTCCCAAAAAAGAACTTAAAATTAATCCCAAACCTATATTTTAATTAAAACATACACCCATTTTTCCTACAATTTCTAAAGGAGAAATTTCCTATATATATTAAGGTATTAAAGAACTATTAATTCCAATAACAATTCCACATATAAATCGATTTATTAATAAATATATTATTTAAGGAAATAAAACTACAATACATCCTATAATTCCTATAATATCAACTAGTATAAATGTATTTTTTAAAGAAAATTTCTAAATTATTTCTGAAGATATCATTGATCCTAAAAAAGCTCCTAAAGGTATAAATGAATTTATTAAAGATTAATAAATATAAATTTTATTTTATTCTATTTCATATGCTTCGATTATTCTTTTAGTTATGCAAGTGATTACTCCTAAAGAATAACCAATAAATAAGGAGCCTAAACAACTATTTGAAACAATTAAAAATATTTAAAATGTTGATTTATGTTTCATTTTTATCTTTTTTAATAAATAAATAATAATAATAATTAATTAAATATCTAAGTTAATTTGTTAAAAGTTAAAATGAATGAAAATTTTGATTATAAAATTTATTTTATTTAAAAAATAAAATATTTTCAAGTAAGCTTCTAATGTTAAATTTATAGCATTTAAACTTATCTTAAAACCATCAAAATTCTATAAAATAACAATATGTATAGAAAATAACCAAATATAAAATTAAGATTTCTACATTAGAATTTCAAAGCAATCAAATAATAAAAAGTTATAAAGAAATATAAAAAAATACGAATTCTAAATAATAAAAAATTACAGAAATACAAATATGAAATAAATTTTGATTCATAAAATACATAAAAATCTTTAATTAATTAAAAAAAAATTAATTAAAGATAAAAAAATATTAAAATTAGATGATTATAATAATTAATAAGTAAAATATTATTAAAAATTTCTAATAAGTAATAGAATAAAAGCTTTATTTTTTTTAAAAAAAAGAAGAATTTTTTAGCCCAAAAGATTCTTTTTTAAATAAAATACTATATTTGATAATAAAATTTTAAAAAACTAAACTGAAATAAATAAACAAAAAAAAACAATTCAAATATCAAAAAAATCACAAAAGAAAATTAAAAAAAATAAATATTTTTTAGTAAATAAAAATTGTAAATTAATTAATTAATAAAAGAATTAATATGAAGAAAAAAAATAATTATTAATAAATTAATTAATAATAATAAAAAATATTCTATTTAAAATAAGAAAATGAAGAAATAAATTAATATTATATTATAAATAGAAACTTAAAATTTTATTTAATATGATTAAAAATTACTTATTTAAAAAAAAAATACTAAATTTAATAAACTAATCAATTTAAATTAAAAAAAACATAAATTTAAATTTAAGATAAGAAATTTAAAATAAAATTAAAAAACTGGTTTATATTTTCTTTAAAAGTAAATAATCATTAATAATAAAGTTTATTTAATTAATAATAATGAGATAAAAAAATCTTTTATAAATATTAATAAAAGTATCATTTATTAAGTCTAGAATTATTTATAATAAATAAATAATTTTTTGTTAAATATATATAAATTTATATAAAATATATAAATATATAAATATATAAATATTATTTTTTTATATTAATATATATATTTAATTATTAAATTATTAATTTATTTATTTAAATAAAACAAGAAAATTATATTATTTTAATTTTTATTTTTTCTTTTTCTAGCTTTATAAATAACTTTTTTTTTTTTCAAGCTAAATCATTAAATAAATCAGCATCTGTTTATAAACTATTATTTTCTTCTTCTCCTTTTTTCTTTTGATTTTATTTATTTTTTTCTTCTATATCTTTTTTCTTATTTTAGGTATCATCATCTTCATCTTTTTTTATTTTTTTAATTATTTTGTTTTAATAAATATCTTGATCATCTTCATTATCTTCTTCATTCTTAATTTCTTTTTTATTTCCTTTTTATTTTATTTTTTATTATTATTTGTAATCAATACTTTATCTTTCTTTATCTTTTTAATCTATATTATCTTTTTTATTTTCATTTTATTAATTATATTTTTTATTTTATTTTCTAAGGTTTTTATTACTTTCTTTTTTTTCTTTATCTTATATCTAATCCTAATCTTTTTTATTTTATTTCTATTTTATTTTATAATCATTATCTTAATCTTTATGATTTTCTTCATTTTCTTCATTTTCTTCATTATCTTCATTGCCTTCATTGTCTTCATTGTCTTCATTGTCTTCATTGTCTTCATTGTCTTTATTGCCTTTATTGCCTTTATTGTCTTCATTTTCTTTATTTTCTTCATTTTCTTCGTTTTCTTCATTTTCTTCATTTCCTTAATTTCCTTCATTTTCTTCATTTCCTTAATTTCCTTCATTTTCTTCATTTCTTACATTTCTTTCATTTCCTTCGAATTCATTTTAATCATTTTTTTAGTTATTTATTATTTTATTATTTTTTTCTTAATTTTAATTATTTTCAGTTTGTTAATTATTTTCATCTGGTTAATCAAGATTTTTTTTCTTATTTTTCTATTTATAATCTTCATTTTTTTATTAGTTTTTATTTTATTTAATATTATTATTGTTGTTTTGTTCTTCATCATCTTAATTATCTTCATTGTCTTATTTTTTTTTATCTTTATTAGTTTTTTGTTCTTTGTCATCTTTATTTTATTCTTAATTTTTTTTTTTATTGTTATTTTGTTCTTCAATATCATCATCATCATCTTCTTACTTTTTATTTTTTTATTCTTTATCAGATTTGACTATTTTTTTATTTTATTTTCCACCCTCATTTTCTTCTTTATATTATTTTTTGTTTTTTTTATTTTATTTTTCTTAATCTTAATCCTAATCCTAATCCTAATCCTAATCCTAATCTTAAAATAAATCTTAATCTTAATATTAACCTTAATCCTAAACTTAATCTTAAACCTAATCTTAATCTTAATCATAATCTTAATCTTAAACCTAATCTTAATCTTAATCTTAATCATAATCATAATATTAATCATAATCCTAATCTTAATCCTAGTTTTAATCATAATCCTAATCTTAATCCTAATCCTAATTCTAATCCTAATCCTAATCCTAATCCTAATCCTAATCCTAATCCTAATCCTAATCATAATCTTTATATTATTTTTTATTATTTTTTTATTTTGCATTTTCTTAATTTTCATTTTAAGTATTTATTTTTTTGTATTTTTTTTATTTGACATCATCTTCGTATTTATCTTCATCTTAATTTTCTTAATTTTATTGTTTTTTATTGTTTTCTTGATTTCTATTCTCTTAGTTTTCATCCTAAATATTTATTCTTTTCTATTTTTTTTATTTGATATCATCTTTGTCTTTATCTTTATCTTCATCTTAATTTTCTTAATTTTATTATTTTTTATTGTTTTCTTGATTTCTATCCTCTTAATTTTCATCTTAAATATTTATTCTTTTCTATTTTTTTTATTTGACATCATCTTCATCCTTATTTTCAAAATAATTTTCTTCTTTTTATTATTTTTTATTGTTTTTTTATTTTCCGTTTTCTTAATTTTCATCTTAAGTATTTATTTTTTTCTATTTTTTTTATTTGACATCATCTTCATCCTTATTTTCAAAATAATTTTCTTCTTTTTATTATTTTTTATTTTTTTTCTATTTTTTTTATTCTATATTATCATCATCTTTATCTTCATCATCATTTTAATCTTCATCATAATCTTCATTTTCATCTTCGTTTTCATTTTCATTTTCATTTTCATTTTCATATTAATCTTCATCTTCATCTTAATATTAATCTGAATTATCATCTTAATTTTTATATTATTTTTTATTGCTTTTTTTTTCTCCATCTTCTTAATTTTCATCTTATATTTTTATTTTTTTCTAGTTTTTTATTTACTATCATCATCATCATCATCATCATCATCATCATCATCATCATCATCATCATCATCATCATCATCATCATCATCATCATCATCATCAACTTCATCTTAATCTTTTTTTTCTTGTTTTTGTTTTTTTATATTTTTTTTTTTTTCACCATCATCCTAATTTTCATCTTATATATTTATTTTTTTCAATTTGTTTTATTCTAAATCATCATCAAATTCTAGTATATCTTCATCTTCAGCTTCAGCTTCATCTTAGTTTTCTTCTTTTTATTATTTTTTATTTTTTTTATTGTTTTTTTATTTTTCATCCTCTTAATTTTCATTTTATTTTTTATTTTTTTTCTAATTATTTTACTCTTCTTTATCATCAACTTCATATTCGTCTTTATTTTCTTCTTTTTATTATTTTTTATTATTTTTTTATTCTCTACTTTCTTAATTTTCATCTTATATATTTATTTTTTTCTATTTTTTTTATTTTTCATTATCATCTTCATCTTAATTTTCTTCTTTTTATTATTTTTTATTTTTTTTCTATTTATTTTATTCATCTTCTTAATTTTCATCTTCTTTTTTATTTATTTTCTATTTTTTTTATTCATCTTCTTTTTTATCTTTTTTTTTATTTTCTTCTTTTTGTTATTTTTTTTTATTATTATTATCTTTTTATTCATCATCCTCTTAATTTACATCTTCTTTTTTATTTTTTTTCTATTTTTTTTATTCATCTTCCTAATTTTCTTCTTTTTATTATTTTTTATTTTTTTTATTATCTTTTTATTCTTCATCCTCTTAATTTTCATCTTATAAATTTATTATTTTCTTTTTGTTTTATTTTTCTCTATCATTATCATTTTAATCTTGATTTTTCTTTTTCTTATTTTTTTACTCTTCATTATTCTTTTTCGTATTTTTATTTAAATATTTTTCTTCATTATCTTCTTCCTCTCCAGCTATTTTTTTATTTTCTTCTTTACCACCGTCTTATTTTTAATTATTTTTTTATTCAATTTCATTAGTCTCTGGAGGCTCAACACCTTTTTCCCAATCTATTTAATTTAAAATATCCTAATCAGTTTAATTTTTTTCTGTATTAAGACATTTTGTTTATTCCTTATTTAAAACATATCCATTTGTGCAATTTCCACAAGTAAATTAATTCAAGTACTAATCACAATGTAAAATATCGCCTTTTAAACAATACAAAGAATCATCAGTTAAAAAATAAGTTTCCATACAAACTAAACAAGTATTCTCTTCGTCTGAAAGGAAGCAATTTTAAACTGCATTTTTATCTATTAATTAAAGTTCAATTACTTCTTATCTTTAAAAATGATATTTTATGCTATTTTTATAATTTGATTTCATGTTTGCTATATCGTTTTGTCTTTATGATAATATTTTTATTTAAAAGGATGATTATATTAATACGAAAAATATTAGTATTATAATTGCTTTTGAGTTTTTCATTTATAAGATTATTATTTTTCTCTTATTTATTTATTTTTTCTTACTTTATTTACTTTTTTTTATTCGAATTTATCGTTTTATAATTTTTTTAATATATATATAATCTAAATTATAATAATAAATAAAAAACGAATAAAAATATTTTTTTTTATTATTAACCAAAAAAAAGAAGTAAAATATATATTTTAAATTAATTTTTCATAAGATAAAAAAACTTCTTAGTATTAAACTTATCAATATAATTTTTAAAAATATTATATTGATTAGATTTAATTTAGTAAAATTAAAATATATTTTTTTTATTTTTTCTATATTATGATTATTTTGTATATTTTATAATTATGTTATTTTTCGCTTCGAATTTATTTCAAAATTTTGCCTTTTAGGATTTTTTAAAAATATATAAATATAATAAAAATCTTTTAAAGGTTATAATAGTATGAAATTTTAAAATTATAATAAATTTTATTTCATAAAATTTGTATTTTATAAAAATATATTTATATATATATATAAATATATATATATATATATATATATATATATATATAATAATAATAATAATAATTATAATAATAATAATAATAATAATTATAATTATAGCAATAATATTAAATAATTAAATAGAAGATTTCAATATATTATAGGAAAATTATTATTTAATTTTAAATTTTTATTTTAAAAAAATAGATTTTATTTCTTATATAAATTTTTTATTTGTTTTTATTAAATATTTTTTAATATAGTAATTAAAAAAAATATATGAATAATAATGCTTTGATTGAATTATTATATGTCATTTATTAAACATCAATATTAATATATTTTATATTACATTTTTTTATGGTTTAATATCTGGGTTTTATAAATTATTTCTCTTTTGATAATATTAAAATTATTTTTAATGACAAAACTTTACTGCAAAAATAATTTAATTATATTAAAAAAATAACTATATGGACTATATTATAAAGTATATATTTATTAAATAAAAGTTTTTAATATTTCAAATAATAAACCAAATTATACAAACAAAAACAAATTTAATTTGTATTTTTTCATAAAAAAAATATGAAATTTATAAATTATTTAATTTTTGAATTTTGTTTTGATTATTTCAAAAAAATAAATATTTTAATTAATAAATTCTATTTAATTTATATAGTCCATATTATTACTTTTTTGAAATATTTAAGTTTGGGTAAAATTTAGACATTAAAAATACTTTATGAAAAATAAAAAAGAAAAATTTAATTATCAAATAATTTATATAATTATATGTATTATCATGTGCTTTAGTTAATTTATAAATCTTTATTTTTATTTTATTTTTTAGTAAAGTAAATATATACATTATATCACCTCATAAAATTTTTATTTATTAAACTATAGTATTTTAATTGATACATCAATATTTAATTAATATTAGTTATTTTTAATATTTTTTATTAATTTAACTCAATTAATCCTTTTTTTTATTGTATAATTCTATTTATTTGTTATCTATTAAAATGTTAATAAAAAATTTCTAAGAAATCTCTATATTTTTAAAATTAATAATAGTATTTATTGTAAATTCAATATATTATATAATTTAATTAAATAACTAATATATATTTTTATTTAAAATCTTTGACTCCTAAAATTTTATATCAAATATATTATAAATATATGATATTCAAAAATCATAATTATTATCAATAAATCTATTAACTTTATTTTTAATAGCCCATGCTGTTCCAGAAGCAAGTGGTGCCTAATATTTTTAAATAATAATTTATTAATTATATTGAAAACAATAATTAATACTTTAATAAAATTAACTGTAAACCCTTTATAAAAAGTTAAAATAATTCCTTCTTTTTTTATGGAATTTTTAATTAATTATTTATAATTCCTAATATATATTTTAGAATAAATATTTTCTTTATTTTTTTTACATAATATGAGTTAATTCACCAGTTCTAAGCAATAAACCTTAAGCCTATTTTTTTTTCCTTATTATTTCAAAAGGATAAGATACTTAAATAAAAAAATATAAATATAAATAGACTTTACAAACAAATAAAAGAAAAAAACTTAGCTAAGATATTGTAGCTCCAATTGATCCAAATAAGAAATCGACATACCATTTTCTAGAAAAATCTAAATAATTATTAAATGCGTATTACTTTAGATTAGTAACTATAAAAAAGCCTGACCCATGATAAAATAAAATTCCCTTTTTAAAAAAATATTAAAACATTTATTTAATTTTAATAATATACAAACATGGCTAAAGTCATTCCACTATAAAATCCAATTGTTCCTTCTGTTTTATGGATAACTTTTATTGCATCAAAAAAGTTTTTATATTAAAAGCTATCTTTTTGCATAGCTAGCCTTGTTCTTTATTTTATATTATATATTAAAATAAAAGGCATTTTATTTACCTTATTAATTCTAAAGGATAACATATTGATTAAGAAATTATTCCTGAAATAGCTCCAATAGAAAATAATAATAATTATTTTTTAATTTCATTGTCTGTTTAATATTTCAAATATACATTCTATTATTAAATGTATTATAATTTAAAAAAAAAAAAATATAAAAAAATCAATCAAAGAATTTTCTATTATTTATACATTTTTTAAATAATCAAAAGTTGAAAAGTTCTTTTTTTATTTATTATTTTTTTTTGTTAAAAAAAATTAAATTGATTTACTCATTTTTAAGAAAATTAATATTATTACAATTGATGAAAAAGGTATTATTCTTATCAAATTTGCACTGTTTCCTCTCCATAAATTTAATACTCCATGTTTTTTTACAATATACTTAGCTTCTTTCAAGGCAATAGTATATTTGAATTATATGTCTCTTGTCTAATAATTATTTTTTGTAAATTTAATTTTTTAATATTTATTATATTTTACAATAAATATATATTTTATTCTTTCAAAAGGTGCTGATATTGTTTTTCCACACATTCCTGCAATACCTCCTTTTTATGGAATATTTTAAACTATAATAAATATTATTTTACCTGAAATAAAGCTTTTAAAATATTTATAATCATCTTTATCAGTATTTTCAAAATGTTTTTTATTCATTGTTTTTTTTATTATTAAGAATATTTTTTAATATTTTATTTTATTTTAATATATATTTTTTATATCATATAAATTAAAAAATTAATTAAAATTATTAATATATAATATAATTTTAAAATATTTCTTTTTTCTATCACTTTATAAAATAATAATTTTATTATTTGTAAAAATATAACATAATTGAATATATTTTTATCTTAATTAATTATTTTAAGTCGTTTGTTATATTTTAAAATAAATTTTATAGATAAATCAAAATAACTAATAATGAATTTATATAATGTTTACATTTTTTTGATAATAATTTATTCATTTAATATAATTATTATTTTATATAATATACATATTACATAATAATATATATTTTAAAGTCTTTTAATGATTTTAATGCTAATTATATTAATTTTTTAAAAATACAAAATTATAATTAGTTTTTTAATATATTTATATATATATATATGTAAATTTAAAATTAACTTTTTATAATTAGATTATTAGTTACACGAAAAATCTTGAACATAGCCATTTTAATCCTATTTTAATTTTGAAAAAAAACATTTCTTTAAAATTTTCTTATAAAATGACTACTATAATAATGTCCTTTTTATTCTAACATATTATATATATAAAGTAAATTTATATATATTAATTGTATTTATAAAAAAAAAAATATTAATGGAAAAACTAAATTGTATATTTAATTTACTGCAATTAAAAATACTAGTCAAAAAAATATATAATTCAAATTAAATTTACATCAAAACTTTATTATTTTCATGAAAAAATTCCACTATTTTTTTTAGGTATAAAAAAATGATTTTTTTTTTATATAACCGTGATAGTGATATTTATTATATAAGGATAACTTTATATTATATTCTTCTCTTATTAAAATAATAATAAATATTATTTCCTTAGTATAATACATTAATTAGATATTATCTATAAAATAAATTCTAAAAATTAAATCATAATACTTTACATTTTTATTAATAAGATAGTCTATAGTTTGCAAATATAAAATTATATATTTTCTTTTACAGTTTTTTACTTTTTTTCTATATTTAAGTTAATATCATATTAAGCTTAATTTGCCTATAGAAAATAATTTATAAAATATTTTAGAATTATTATTAAAAAGTAACAATTTTTTCTATTATAATAATTTTTACATATGTATTATTTATTTATTTAAATTATAATTAATATAGATTATTAATTTGCACTTAGTCTTAGCATATAGTTCTTAGTTTGTTTGTCAAAATTATGTTTATTAGTTATTAATTACCCGTTTTTACAATTATATTTTAATATAGAAGAATCTTTAAATTATTTTTTTTATGATATAATGCTATATATATGATGTATTCATTTATTAAGAATCCCCAAATTATAAATGGCGTTTTAAAGACAATAAATTAATTGTACAAATACATTAAACTAATTTATTGATTTATAATTTGTATATGTTTTTAATTATAACTATTATTTTTTTATCACAATTAAAAAATTTATTAAGTTTTGAAATTTATTATAATTTTTTTTTTTTTAATAAAATAAAAATATTATAAATTAGAGAAATTAAATGGCAATTTATAAAAATTATTAAATTTTTAAAATTTAATTTATTTTTTAATAATAGGTTTATTAAATAAAGATAACCGAAATTATTGTTAAAATTAAAAATTAGCAATTAATTAAATTAAAATATTTAAATCGTCGAATTAATAGAATATTTTTTTTAGCATTAAAATTTGAAAACTATTGTAAAATTTATTATTTTGGTATTATTTTTTTATAATACAATTTGTATATTATTTTAAATTAATTTAATATAATAATATTGTAAAGATTATAATGATTTATAATAAATTATTTTTTAAAAATTTTAAATATATTTTATAATATAGGCTTTTTAGTATTTTAATATACCTTCCTTAATATTATAAAAATGACTCTAAAAACCTTAATTAAAATAATTTAAAAATTGATTAAAGAATTTTTATTATAAAATACTTAATTATAAAAAATTAACAGTAAAATGATTAAAATATTTTTTTTATTCAAATTGTTTATTTTAATATTTCATTAAAAACTTTTTTAAAAACTCGATCAATAAAAAAATGCATTGCATTATTATAAGTTTTTTTGTTTAGCCTTTTTTAATTTTGGTTGAAATTTTTTTAAAAAATTATAGAAAATATAAGAAATATTAATTTATGTTACAATTTTAATATATATACATATAATGTTATAATAATATTTATTTATTTATTTTTTTAAAAAAAAGATATTTAAAATAATCAATAATATATAAAAATAAAATAAGATAAGATAAAATAAAATAAAATAAAATATAAAATAAAATAAAATTAAAAATATATTAAATCATAAAATATTTTTAAGTATTTATATTGATAATAAAATATATAATGCAAAATTTTTAAAATGAGCATTCATACAAAAGATTTATATTAGATTTTTTATCAGGAGGAGTCGCAGGGGCAATATCAAAAACAGTAGCTGCTCCAATTGAGAGAGTAAAATTGCTAATGCAAACCGGAACAGAAAATTTGAAATTGACTCGCCCATATAAAAGCATAGCAGAATGTTTTACTAGATGTATAAAAGAAGAAGGAGTACTATCATTATGGAGAGGTAATAGTGTAAATGTAATAAGGTAAATTAAATAAATAAGAAAAAAAAAATTAATTAAAAAAAAAAAAATTAAAAAAGATATTTCCCAACACAGGCATTAAATTTTTCATTTAAAGAAAAATTTAATTCCATATTTAATCCTTTTGATCCAAAAAAATAAAAAAGTCTATTTTTTTGGGGTTCAATATTATCTGGAGGGTTAGCTGGTTGTGCAACCATATGCTTTGTCTACCCTTTAGACTTTACAAGAACTAGATTAAGTGTAGACCTTGGGAGGTAAAAAAGTGATCGTTAGTTTACAGGAATAATTGATTGTATGAAAAAAGTTTACAAAACAGATGGCATAAGAGGAACTTATTAAGGATTCGGAATGTGCCTTTTCGGTATTTTTGTTTATAGAGGACTTTATTTTGGAACATATGATTCTGGTAAATAAATGCTTCTTCCTTTAGATAAGAAAGATAATTTAATATGGAAGTTCTTTTTTGCACAGTCAGTTGTTATTTTTAGTGAAACTGTTTCGTATCCAACTGATACAGTCAAAAGAAAAATGATGATGTAAAGTGCAAGAGGAGGATAAGTATTATATAAAAACTCGATCGACTGCTGTATTTAAATGTATTAAAAATTCGGAGTTAAATCTTTTTACATTGGAAACATGTCTAATATTATTAGAAGTTTTGGATCATCATTGTGCTTAGTTCTTTATGATGAAATTAGAGAATATTCACTTAAGTATTGATTTCTTTTTTTATTTTTTTTTGGGATTTGCTAGTATTTTATATATATTTATGTGTATAATGTTTGGTTTATTAAATTTATTTAATTAAAATTAATTTTTTATACGTGTATATATGTTTTATTAATTATTTCTATTTTATTTAAAAATTATATACTATTTAAATATTTTTATAATAAATAAAATTATTTTTTTAAAATTATCAAAAACAATTTTTCAAGCGAGAGTTAAGGGAAAAAAAATGTAATAAAACTACGATAATAACTACAAACACAGTAATGTTGAATATTTAAAAAAAGATTATCTTTAGTAAATTAAACAAATATCATTAAAAATTTAAATTTATAACGAAGGTAAGAGTATAATTATCACTAAGATGATTAAAAGAAAAGAAAAGAAGATATATTAAGGGAGAAATAAAAAGAATATGAAGAATAAGAATAAAATATGAAAAACTATAATGATTATTTGCTTAAAGAAAAAGAATATAAGTATAACTAAAAGAAAGAATATTCTGATGTGTACAAATTATAAATCGAAAAGATTTAATAAGAAAAAATTAAAAATGTAATTTTAAAATACTATTTATTTATTTTTAAAATATATTTATATTTTTTTTTTTTTTTTAGAAATAATTATAAATAGAAGAGGATAGAATGAGAGTATAAAAATACTAAGAAGAAATGCTATAATAAGAATAGAAAAAGATCTAATTAAAATAACAATAGAAATAGGAACTTAAAGACTATTATTAAGCTAAAAACTTAACAAACTAAAATTAGTAAAATTAATAGTATAGAAACGAATTTCAAGAATAGAATAATATATAATATGTACCTTAAAAAATAAACTAAGAAGTAAAAAATTTAAAATATGTATTTTTATTATATTTTATATACTAAAAAAATAAGAATTTTTATAAATAATACTACGAATAATTTGAGAAAAAACGAGATTTATATTCGAAAAATTTTGTTTCTTATGATGAAGAAAAATGGAGAAAGGCAGATGCTGTATCTTAATAATAACCTTCTAGCTAAGTAAATTAGGAAAATACAGCCTAATAATAGTATGAAAGATAAATAGTAAATAAAATATAAACTACTTTATATCTATTATTAATTTTTGTTTTTTTAATTAGAAATAAAGAAATTATAATGAGTATCTTAAATAATAAATAATTGATAATTAAATGAAAAAAAAACTAGATAAGTAAGACTAAAACTTTTAATAATAAGCTTAATAAGAAAACTATATTGCTTAAAATTATAGTTAAAATAATAAAAAATCATAAGACGATATTTTCGATATTATGGGAAATAAACGTTAATTTGTTAATGCTATCTAACCTACAATTTCTATTAATTCTTAAAATAAAAGAGAAGAATAATTAAAGTATAGATAACTATTAGATGCTTAGAAAGAAAACAAAAGATAATAGTAAATTAATGAAGAAAATTAGGTATTATTTTTTATTTTATGATCTTAAAACATTTATATTTTTTTAAATTAAGAATAAAATTTTCATGTAAAAAATTTATACCAATAATAATCAATTACATAATGTAATTTCTAATCCTATGAATAAAAACCAAAAAGCTTCTTAATATCAAAATTATGAACAAAATAATGAAAATAATTATTATTAACCTAAAAATAATTAATAAAGAATTGAATATTCTTAAATTGCAAACTAAAATATACTAAACAAAAATTATTGAGAAAATGAAAATAAATTTTATATAATAATTATATTAAAAAATATTAATAATAATACAGAATTAATAAAAAAAATATATAAAATTAGATATAAGAAATAATTTATAACTTCTTAAAAATAATTTTTAACAAAAAATATTCTGTCTATATATAAAAATAATAATTTTATTTATTTATTTTATAATAAAATATTTTAATTTTTTTTTTTTTTAAAAAAATAATAAATAAATATATTAAATTTGATATTAATTTCATTTTATATAAATTTTATATCAAATAATTCTTTTTTAAATTAAAATATAAAAATGAAAAAAGATAATTCTGTTTTTCGTCCGTTTTTAATATAAAATAAAACTGGATAAAAAGTATAAAAAGAAGATAATATTAGTGATACATTTGATCCAATAATAAAAAGGAAAGTAGATTTTAATCAATAAGCATTTGCATTTTTAATAGTATTTAAAATAAAATAATTAAAATAATAAATTAAAAATATTAGTTCGCTCTTCCTTATGAAAGTCTGAAAATTAGTTATTATATATACTATTATTATGATATTTGTATAAGTTATTCAATAATAATGGTTTATTATTTAAGTTCAAATATAATCTGGTTAGTATTTAATATTTATAGTTTTGCATCAATAAAATCAAGAAGACCTCCAAAAACAAAAAAAGTTTTCATAATAGTAATAATTGGATTAGTTTTAAGGATTATAACATATATTTTATTATTTTACTTATTGAGCTATTAAAAAAACTACTATATAAATTAAAGTAATTAAGAAAATTGTTATTGTAAAACAATCTATAAACACAATATGTTTTTACTTTAGGGAATTATTGAAACTTTGTTGCTTATATTGATAACTATTTTTATGAAGTAAATTTTTGAATATGTAAAAAGTATATTTCTAATTATTTTTTTAAATAGTTTATTTTATTTTATTTTTTATTATTAAGTTTGGCATAGTTAAACTAAATAAATGTGCTTTCTAATGTGTTTATTGGGAGACGAAGAATGAATAAAGAAATTCATATGTATATGCTTTTTTAAAAATAAACTTTTTGAATTATTAATGTATAATTAATATATATGTTTTTATTAAGTATTAAGTTAATATAATATATAAATTTAAATTAATATTTTAAAAAATAGAGAAACTTTTTAATTTTATAATATATTATTCAAATTTAATAAACTTTATAAAAATGATTTATTGCTAAATAAATACTTTTTATATTAAAACATTTATATATAAAATTAAAACTAAATTTATCAATTTTATTATTTATTTTTTAATTTATATTATTTTAATTAAATATTTAATAATTAATTAAAGTATGTTTTTATTAAAAAATAATTATTTTCCTTGAAAAATATAAATAATTTATATTTTAAAAATAACATATATAAGCGTCCAACATTACATAGTTAATATATAAAATCAATGTTTAAGAATATTATTTATCTATAGATTCTACAAATATTTATTTAATTATTTTTTAAATAATCATATTAAAATACAAACCAAAAAGTTTAATAATGCAAATAATTATTAATAGACTCTATTATTAAGAAATTATCTTTTTTTTTTTATTAAAGTTTATATGTATATCATATTTTATAATAAAAATATTTTTAGAGTCAAAAAGCATAAAATAAGGTATAATTGATTTTTGGATATGCATATTTTAATACAATAAACAATTTAAGTATTAAATTAAAAAAAGTTATAGTCGACCAATGTTTAATTAATCGAATTATTTGAGAATAATTAAGGGACATATTTTTATTTTTGTTTGATTATAATTATAATTTTTTATATCTACTTAATATTTTATTAAAAATTTATAATATTAATAGACTTTTTAATAAAATAGAAGATATTATTAGTTTAAATAAAAAAGCTATTTATATTATTTAATTTATTTACTTTTTTATCATTATTTTATTATTTATTTTAATATTTTTCCTTCTTGCATTTTTTTTTTTTTTTAAATTTAATCTTTAAAAACCAAAAAAATACAAGTAAATATGCTTTTTTTATTGATTTAGTTATTTATAAAAATAAAATAAAAAAGCATAAAAACATCTAATATTAGTTTATCATGTTTATAGTTATTATATAAATTTTAAATATTATTTACTCAAAATCTAGGATTTTATAATGAAATATACTTAATTAAAATTTAATTATTTAATATTTTGATAGTTATTATTGTTCTAAAGTTACTATTATTACGGTTAGTTGCAAAAAATATTGATTCTTTCATTAAATGTTTTCATTTGAAAACGAAATAAAGAAAATAATATTAATAATTTTATTTTAAATATAAAAAAAACATAAAAAATATAGTATATTAATAAAATAATATCTAGATTATTATTATTGAGAAGAGAATAATTATCGTAAAAAAAAAGCTAATTGATTTATTTAAGAAAATCTTTAATCATAGAAGCTAATAAAAAAGCATTAATATTTATTTATTTTTCTTTTTGGGGAAAAAAAAAAAAAGATAGAAAATATAGATAATTTAAATTATATATATTATTTAATTTTTTATATTTAAATTTAACAAAAACTAAATATGTTTTCATTTACTATATTCTATAGATTAATTTAATTTTTTAATTTTAAAAATACAATATTTTCCTGACCAAAGTATAATAACTTTAACAATAACCGACAAAAGCTTAATAATAATAATTTAAATATTAATATTTTATGCATCTAAAAATAAACTATATAATAAATTAAGTGAGTAACTTATTACAGACAAAAAGTTAAATATAAAATATGCTTTTGCAACTCCATATGCTTAACTAGTAGTCTATAAAAAAATAAAGATATAAATAAAGAAAATAAATTATAAAAATAATTAACTAAAAACAAAGCTAAAAAAGGCGTTATTATATATACAAAAGGAAAGGGAAAAAAGAAGAAGAATACTTCCTATTTATTATATCCGTTTTTAAAAGCATAATAAAGATTACTAAAATAAAAAGTTTAAATTTGAATATCAATAATAATTAGCGAAGTTAATAAAAAAGTAAAAGCTCTTTAGGATATTTAGAACTACAATGAGATAAACAAACAAATCTTAAATATCCAGTAAAAATATTTAAACGAAAAATTAATTAATTTATTTTGGATATTTTTTTTTCTGGTCCTTATTTTTCGAGGTTTTAATTATTTTCGTAATCATCTTCATTTTCTTAATTTTTGTTATTTATATCTATATCTTGGTACATATTATCATAAATATAATTTTCTCTTTTTTTTGTTTTAATAAAATTAATAATAAAACTATATTTTACATGTACTCTTCTACTGTTTATTAAATAGAAATATCAGGTTCTTTGCTTAATTTGTTTTCATAAATTTTCGTACAATCTCCTGAACTAGATTTAGATTTATTATTTATAGAAAAATTTCTTAATTATTCTTATTCATTATTTATTTCTAATTAAGTCTATAAGGCTTATTGTATTTTTAAAGGATTTTCGTTTTCACTAAATAAATATAAAGATAATTTAATATCTGTTTTTTTTTAATAGAGCTTAATTTCCTATATTTATTTTATTTTTTCTTTTAATTTTTCCTCTTCCCATGTACTTTCAAATAAGGTAATTTTCTATTCGAAATTTTTTAACTTTTCAATTTTTAAAGGAATTTCAATAATTAAAAAATAAACTTTTAAACCAAATTTATAAAATAGTTTTTCGTTAATTTTATTTATATATTCTATCATCTATGTAAATCGTGCTATTAATTATTCAATAGGGCAATTAAAATCTAATTAATTTGTATATTTGTTTAATTTTGCTATAAACAATTCGAATTATTTCCCATTTTAACGATGATAATTATAATTATCGCAAAAAACATCGATATTACAATTGTCTTAAGTTTTTATTTAACTTCGGCTAATACAAGCGTAAAATAGACTTTACAAAAAATGATCTCTTATGTTAATGTAATATGGTTTTAAGTAATTTCCTTCTCCACCTTTTTTTAAATTAATATTTTAAATTGATGTTTTGTTTGTTTGTTTGTTTTTTTTTTTTTTTTACTAAAATGAATTATTGTTGGTAAAATTATGTTAAAGTATTTTTAATTTATTTTTTGGTAATTAAATATATCTAAAAAACATAATGAATAATCATCACTTTTACTTATCTTCATTATTATATATTTTTATTCTTATTCTGTTAATCCTATTATAAATCTCTATATTTTTTATTTTTTTTCAAATATAATAAAAATTATATACAGGAAATTGCTCATTATCAATGAACTTTTTAATTTTTTTATAGGTTTTTTTTTGTATAAGAAGTAAGAAAAACCAATATAAAGGATAATATATATATTAAAGAATTTTAATAATAATTATATCAAATTTTTTCCATTTTAAAATCTTGTTTACTTTCTATATGTTTATAAAAATAAAATGTATTATTTTATATATAAATATATAAATATATAAAAATATAATATAAATATATATATATATATTAATATATATATATATATTTATTTTTAATAAAAATGAGATGATTTATTTAGTCGATATTTTGTTTATAAGAAATTTTTTTACAAATAAAATATTATAAAATATACTTAAGCAAAATCTTTAAATTCCTTATTATCAAAAATGAATTCTGTATTTTCAGGAATTTAAGTTTACATACACCAAAAACTATTTACATTGTTGTTACCATAAATTTAAAATCTATATTTATGATAAAGAAGATCTTTGTATTAGAAATTAGAACTGTTTCTACATTCTTTAGAAAATTATTAGTCATCAAAATCATATTTAACATATTGTATGGGAATACTATCAATTTTTTTAGGCTACATTCTTAAAAATCTTCTAGAAACATAACCTAAACAAATAACAAAAAGATAAAAAATAATATATAATATCCCTTTGAAACTAATGATGTTTAGAACGTAATATTTAGCAGGATCACAATCAAAATCATTGCAAATTTAATAGCAACCCTAAAAACTTTCAAATATGTTTTATTTATGATTTAACTTAGCAGCTGATATAGGAAATATATTAGTTACATTTTTACAATTTCCTTATAAAAAATTTTTATATTAACCTATATTACATTTCTATAAATATTAATAATATTAAAAATAAAATATATATATATATATATATATATATATATATATATATATATATATATATTTATAATTACCTAACAACCTCCTTTATTGTTTGCTTAATATCCTGATGGACATATTTGAGGTATAAAAATTCCATCATCAGCTGAAACTAGTTTTTTAATTTCCTCATCTTACATATACATGTTATTGAAATTTCTAATTCCTTTTTAATATATAATTTCTCCTACAAAATATTCTTATTATATTTCTTAATTATCCCAACTTTAGCTTTACATATGAATCACGCCTCCTGAACCTTCTCCATTATTTCCATTTTCATCAGAATCTCCTCCTTATGTAGAAATTATTCCTTTTCCTTTAATAAAATTAGCTTTTAAAAAAATATATCCTCCAGAACCTCCACTTCCTTCTAGATTTTCATTTTAAAATTTTTATCCATTAGCCAATAAAGAACCATCTAATTAAATTTCATCTATACCATTTAAAATTATGATTCCACCACCTGCTCCTAAATCTTCGAATTTCCTAAATTTTTCAACATAACCATTATATGCACCTCCACTTCCCTAATTTATTATTTTATATAAATATTATTTAATGATAATAAAAAAAAACTTCATAATAAAACTCTTAATCTATAGGCATATTATCAAAAATAAAATTTTAATTTTTATAATATGTCACACATTCTAAAACTTTATTTTTAAAATCATTTTTATCTTAAAATAATCCTTTAGGTATCCCTACACCTCCATAACCTACATAACGAGCTCCATGTACCCCACAATCTTCTGGCGTATTTTAAAAAAAACCTTTTCCAATTCCATATTAAGCCGGACAACCTCTTCCGGAAGTTTAAACGATAGATTATTATTAAATAAGTATTTTTTATGAAAAAAATCCTACTTTAGAAGTAGTAATTATTGTTTCGGAAGAAATTGAGATTTATTTTAGTGAATATGAAAGGAATGTATATTCGTAATTTAGATAGTTTTCAAGAATTTCTAAAGGTTTTTTATTTTCTTATTTACAAATTTCTGAAAGAGAAAGAATTCGGGAATCATTTGTAATTATTTGTGGTGTTTTTTATTAAAAAAAAGAGTATTTTTTTTCCAAACAACGAACGAAATTAACATTTATTTCCGAATTTCGGATTTATATGTTTTCTTGTGCGTAAAAGGCTAAATAACCTGTTATTATTTGACTTTTGGAATTTATTTATATGCTTTTTTCTGTATTAAATATCATGTAACCTAAATAAGAATCTAAATGTTCAAGCTTGACCTATTTTATATTTATATTTTAGACTGCCTATATATATAGATATTATTAATTTTCATATTCTATATTTTTTATGTTTTCTGAATTTTTAGTCCCGAATGTTATTTTATTTTCTATATTTATTTCGCCATATGATTAAATTTATAAGGAATAACAATCAAAAATCATATCAGATAATTTTAAGTTAGTTACTAATAATATGTTTGTGGTTTATGAACATTAAATAGTACTGTTTATTATTGATAGTTGTTTACATTTTTCCGTGTTTTAAGTTTTTTGTAATTAAAGAAGGGTTATACTTTAATTCTCAATTTAACACTGTTAAAAAGTTTTGGGGATGATTAAAATAATATATAGAAAATTTAGAATTTGCATTATTTAATTTGGGATATATTTTTGGTCTTTTTAGAAAATAAAAATATGATATTTTTTTTGTTTTGTTTATAATAAAATATGACTGTAGGATCTAATTTAATAAAATATTTCTTAACAAAAATAAATTAAAATTATAATTAATACAATATATTTTAAAAGTTAAAAAAGAAAAAGTCTATACTATATATATATATATATATATAATATTTTAAAAAAAAAATATAAATATGTATATATAATAGTGTTATAAATGTATATTTTACATAATATTATTAAAAATATTTAACCACTTTATTAAAATATTCTTAATATTTAAAGATGAACTTATAAAAATACTTCTATTCTCATTTTATTAGCTTGCAATTATTTATGCATTTAACCAATAAAAATCATATATATAAAATTTTAAAGATTTTTAAAAAAAATTTTTTTTTTTTTTTTTTTCTTATTCTTTAAAAATTTATTTTGATAAAATATTTTTATAAGTTCTACATGCAGATCAACCTCATCCACCACCACCACATCTAAATGTACTAGCTTCTGATTATCTTACTCTACCAAAAGGTCTTTTAGGTTTAAAATCATCACTTCCATCATTTTAATTGCTCATAGAATTTCCAGAACCATCAAATTCAGGTCTATTTGGCCTATTTGGTCTTTAATATAGTCTTTTTGGACACCAGTAGGTTATACTAAAATACTTCTTCCATCTATTAGATAAATAATTTAATTCTTCTCGTGTATATGTATCTGATTATCTTCCGAAATCAAAGAAAATGGTTATTCCTAAGTATAAAGCATCTATTATGCCAACTAGAAAATCTATTATAAATGCAAAAAATTTCAGAACGCCTGTTCTTTTTGGAGCAAGCATTTCAATTGTTATTTTTTTTTAATTTCTGTATAAAATTATTTTTAATTAAATTTAGTATTATGAAATTTTTAATTAAGATATATATAAAAATATTTTTTACTTTTTTCTTTATTCTTTTTTTACATATATTATAAAAAAATTATATATTTTTTTGTTTCTTATAAATTATATAATAATTTCTGAAAATATATAATAAGTATTAATTGCTCATATATTTTTTTTTATTTTTAATTGTTATTAAGTATTAATAAACGTAATTAAAAAAAAAGGAAAGGGGGCATTAATTCATTTTACTTTTGTTTTTTTTTTTATATTATAGAATTTAGAAACATAAAATAATAAAGAAATATTTAAAAAAACTAATATAAAAATATAATAAGAAAAATGGAAATTTTGATTTATTTTAAATAATGTAATTTTTAATATACAGATTTTTAGATAAAAGTATATTTTTATTCTCTAAAAAAATAAATAAACAATTTTAATTTTTTTTTTATTTTTTTTGTTTGGAAAAAATGGTTTATTTTTAATTCTCTTTGAGCTTCTTATTTCTTCTTAACTTTTTTTTAGATTTGGTTATAAATTTAAATCGTTTTTTTAATAAATAAAAAGACTATATATAAGAAAGCATAAATAAAAATATCTTTTAATTTTAAATTCATTATCAAATTAAAGAAATACTAGTAGAAATATTTCTAAATAAATAAATAAAATTATATATACCATTATCTGAAACATTATCTATATATAGTTTATCAATAATTCTTAAATAATTGACCTGAAAAATGCCTTCAATAAATTATTTAAGGTATAGTATGTTATAAATCTAATAATACAATCTTCTAGAGAATTTTATTATAGAAATGAATATTATATATATATTTATTTTTTATTTAAATGTTATTCTGTTATTTCTAATATATTGTTAAGATAGCATTTTATATTTTTTGTTATTTCTAAATATATAAAAAATTAGTTTTATATATTAATAAATTTATATTATTTGAAAAAAAATACATATTGAATCAATTTAGTTATAAAAGTATGTAAATGTCTAAAATATTATTTTATACATAATTTAACTTATCCTTCTCCATACTTTTCTATAGTTTCTTTTTTTATTCAGACCTTGAAGTATACCATAGTGCCTTTGATTTAACCTCCAAATGCTTATAAATAAATAAATGATAGCTTTCGAATTCAAATTTTTATTTAAAGTAATGCAGTAAATACTATCTATATTAAAATCATACTCTTTTATTTTAAGGATTTTGCTGCATTCCTCGACTCTTCTAATTTAAAATAAATAAATAAAAAATTATCATTATTTTATTATTTCAAAAAGAGTAAAGATGATTAAACATATGTTAAAAATATTAATTAATTTTGAATTTTGTTATTATGAAAAAAAAAAAAAAATGATTATTTTTTTATTAATATTTTATCTTCATTCATTACTTGAAAATAAAAATAAAAAAAAGTTTAATTATTTAAACAAATTTAATTTTTTTATAACAAAAACTTGATAATATCTATTTATATATTCATGTGTTTTTTTTTTTTAATAGATATTCCTTTTTTTATAAAGTATTTTTTGAAAATTATATAAAAATATATAATATATTTAATATAAATAAAATAAGACAATATAATATATAACCTTTTTAAGACTAAATAAATTAATATAAAAATAATCAAAAAAAAAAAAGAAAATTATAATATACTTATCATTTATATTTAAAATAAATAGAAAAAAATAAAAAAATTCCAGATACAAACATTAATTAACATTTGTATAAAAGTTAGAATCTAGAAAATACTTAATTCCGGATTGTCAAATAAATTTGATATGTAAAATATAAAATAATATTTATCTGAAAAATCAAATCTATATCCAGTAATTTTACGTGGAGATATAAAAGGATATTTTTCGATCTTTTAGAATTATTCAGGAAAATTAAAAAATTCCTAAAATAAATTACATATTTATATGAGATTATGTAGACAGATTATATAAAGAAACAATAAAATATTTATTATACTTTAAATTAAAATACCTTTATTTTAAATTTTTATTAAGTGGAAATCATGAATCAAAATAAATATGAAATAGGTATTTTATGAGAAAGTATAAAAAATATATGAAATACAAAATCTTGGAACTTTTTTTTTAAAAGAATTTAATTATTTACAATTTGGGGGGGGGGGAGGCGCTATTGTTGATAAAAAAATAATTTTTTCATATGGAAAAATTTCTTCTGATATTAAAGTTATTAAATAAATTAAAAATATTAAAAAAATATTAGAAATTCTTTTAAAATAACATTTTACTAATTTATTATAGTCTGATCTAAAAAAAAATTGTTATCATAAATATTTTTATTTTTTTTATTTTAAATATAAAAAAAAGTTAAAATCTGGGCTTAGGATAGTACAGAAGAAGAAAAAAATTTTTAAGATTGAATTAAATAAAACTATAATAAATAAATAATTTTTATATAGTTTGTAAAGCTCAATTAATTGTATATAATAATCTTAATATTTGAAAATCTAGATTTTTTTTTAATTTATATTTATTAAAGATAAAATATTATAATATAATGAATAAATATAATTAATACAATCAAATAATAAGCTAAATGAATGAATGTAAAAAAATTAATTTATTTTTATGGAAGCAGAAAATTCCAAAAATATAAAAATATACAAAAAAAATATTTATCTAATTAAAAAAAATTTTTTAAATATTTAAAAATAATTAAATATTTACTATTATTATTATAATTATTATTATTATTATTATTATTATTATTATTATATTTTTTTTTTTAATTTATTTTTTAATATTATTTTTTAAATTATAATATATATATATTTATATATATATTTTGTATAATTATAGGCTATTATTCATCTTATTTTATATAATAATTTTATTTTAAATTAATTTCCGTTTTTTTTATAACTAGAATTTTTTAAAAATAGATTTTATATATATATTATTATAGTTAATAATATTCTTATTTTAAACAACAATAATTAAATATAAATACTCTTTTTTTTAAAATTTTTGAGTTATATATTTTTTTTGAATTTTATGAGTTTATACTATTTTTTTATTAATATATATATATATTTTATCAATAATTATTCTCTTAATGCATATATTTTAATTAAGTTGTTATGTCTATCATATTCTTTTTTTTTATTTATTTATTTTTATATTATATTTTATTATACTTAAAAATATAAGTTTTAAAGAAAAATTAATAAATATATATAGAAGTTTGAAAAAACTATATTGTTATGAATTTGAAACAGCTTTGAATAATTTTTTTAAAAAAATTAATTATAATCCTTAAAAATATTTAAATTTATAAATTTATATGCAATTTAATTTTATTTTTTTCTATGTAAAATTTGTAATTAAAAATATCTTTACTATTTTTTATTTGATTTTGTATTTATTTTATTTTAAAAAACTATTTCCATTTTTTTTTTTTTTTTGATAAAAAAAATAATGCTTTATAACTCAAAAAAAATAATTATTTATTTGCCTTTAAAAAAATAATTTCATTTTTTTTAAAAAAAAATAATTATTAAATTAAAAAAGAATTTTTAATATTAATCTATTTAAAAAAAAAAATATCCAATCAAATTAAAGATTATTTTAAATTAAGAATAAATATTTTAATAAAAAAAAAGAAAAATTAAAAATAAAGTTAAATATAATAAATAATTATAATATTTTAAAAAATAAAAAAGAAAAAAAAAAAAATGGTAAAAAAAAAAAATATTAAATATTAATTTCATATTTTTAAATAAAAAAGGCAACTGGTAAAGGAGGAAAAGGAGGAAAAGGTGGAAAAGGAGGAAAAGGTGGAAAAGTAGGATCTGGAAAGAGTAAGAAAAATCCTTAATCAAGATCTTTCAAGGCTGGATTATAGGTATTTAAAAAAAATAAGAAGCATATTAATAATTTAAATAATAAAAAAAAGTTCCCAGTAGGAAGAATTCATAGATTTTTAAAAAGCAGAGTAAGCTCAAAGAATAGAGTTGGTGCAACCTCTGCTGTATATACAGCTGCTATATTAGAATATTTGACTGCTGAAGTATTAGAATTGGCAGGAAACGCTTCAAAAGATTTCAAAGTGAGAAGAATATCACCAAGACATTTATTATTAGCAATAAGAGGAGATGAAGAATTAGATATTTTGATTAAAGCTACTATTGCAGGAGGTGGTGTTATTCCTCATATCCATAAGGCTTTACTTGGAAAATCCACAACTAAAAATAGATCTAAACCAAACGAATAATAAAATTGATTTTAAATTAAAAAATTAATATTTATAATATTCGTTTATTTATTTTTATATTTATTATTTTTTTGGTTTTTTCTTATTAATATTGTGTTTATTATTTATGTATTATATATATATATATATATATATATATTTTAAAGATATATGATATTATTTTATTTTAAATAAAATAATTATTTATTAAAACAAAATAATCAAAAGAGGAAAAACACTTAAAAGAATAAAATTAAAATATATAAATTTAATTAAATTTATTAAAATAAAATTTTTTTGTTTTGTTTTATAATTTAATACATTAATAATTTGTATTCATCTACATATATAAAAATAAATATTATTTTAAAATAATAATTAAAAAAAAAAAAAAATAACTTTCAATAAAAAATATATTTAAAAAACTTATTTTAAGTAAATATGATTTTATAATCAATTTTTCTTATTCTATTAAATGTTGGTGAACTTGTACTTGCAATATTAATTTCTAAAGGCAATAATCCCTTTTCTTATATATATGCATCTACTCCAGAATAATATATTACATATAAAGCAATATCAAATGTAGTGTTACTTTTTATCGCAGTTTTAAGTATAGGCATATATATGCTATGTCCTAAATCTTTATTTGGATTAAATCTAATGGTTTTTTGTATGGTAATTGATATGGGTATTCGTTTAATGACCTCTTCTAGATTTAATAATAAAATATCCTTCTCAGAAGGAGGAGCAGAAGATTTTCCTGAAGAATTTGCCTATTAAGTGTTTTTATATATTTGTTAGTTTTGTTATCCTTTTATTATTTTTTTACTTTCAGTGTTCAGATATAACATTATTAAAGAATATATAACTGAAAATACTTATAAATAGAGATAAAAAATAATGAATGATATCACACCGTAATAACAAATAGTAACAAGAAATGATTAATTAACTAGAAATAATTAAAGATAATCAATTATTAATAATAATGGATAAAAAGATAGATAAATGGAATCAAATATAAATGAAATGCCTTAAAGTCAACTTGAGATTAATAAATAAGTTAGTAAAAAATGATTTATTTGGTTTTGATTTGAAAATTATAATTAAAGAATAAATATGTAATATATATTTATATTATATATAATTATATATATATATATTTAAATTTGATTTTGAAATTATTTATTATTTTATATATTTTTAAATGTCTTTTTTTATACTCTTTAAATTTATTTTTTTATTCTATTTATTAATTGATATTTATTTTATAAATAAATTTAATTCTTAAAATAAAAATTAATTTTTATTTACAATAATATACTAATATATTAATTTTATTTTAATTTTTTTTATTAAATAATTTTAAATTTAAAAAATAATAAATATAAATAATCAATGATTATTTTCTATACCACAGAAAAAACATATTAAATCACTTTCAGGATTTCCCTTATTTACAAAAAAAAATAAAAATTATTATATTTAAAATAAAATTCAATTATAAAAGATACATTTAATATTGCATCCTTTAATTTATATAGTGGAATTTCATCTTCTAGATCAACATTTAAACTACTAAATAATAATTTTGTGAAATAATCAACTAAATCTTTAATCATAGAATCATCTCCATTTTATACAGGAAGAATTTTTTTTAAACATATATTACATAACTCACTTATTTCTTCTTTTGCTAGAGTTCCACTTTTATCAGTATCTGCAACATTTATAAAAATATTAATTTTAGATTCTAATGTTTTCCCAGAAATCCCATTTAAAATATTCAAGAATTAATTCCAATTAATATAGCTTTCATAATTACACATTCTTTTTATTATTTCTTCACTTTAAGATGATATTTTATCTATTCCATGTTCAAAAGTTAAGAAATCAATTCCTCCATCTTTGATATCTTTTAAATTCATTTTTTAAATAGATACTGTAAGAAGTGCCTTATATAAAATATAAATACTATGTACATCATGTCTTGAAAGTTCATATTTAAATAATATTTTAGGAATATTTTTTATAAATAGCTCTCTATTTTAACTTTATATATTTTTTATTGCTTATTCTGTTGTATTATACCTATATATTATTTATTTTTATGATATTTTAGTCTCTTTCTTTCTTTTTTTTTTTTACTTTTATATATTTTTTTATATAAAATTTCGTCTCTATATAAGAGGTTTTTTCATTATATCTAAAATGCAATTATATTCATCAAGTTTTTATTTAATAATAACTTCTTCTTTTTTATAATTATGTTTTTATAAAAACTAATCCATATAATGTGCTATTTATTAAAGATCTTTTTTATTTATATAAAAAAATAATTAAGAACAAAAAAATTACTTTTGGTTGATTTTAATTCTGGGTTTGTCCCAAATGATTAAGAAGTTTCAATTTCGAATCTATTTTTTTTAAATTAAGATAATTATTTATTGTATTAATTTTCTATTTATTAAAATTTTTCTGTTAAAGGAGTTTCTCCATTTGTAAAGCCTTTTATTTTGTAATCTTAATTTTTATTAAAGGTCAGTATATTTGCAATATTTTCAACTTTTTTTTTATTCTTTTAATATAAAAATTACTCTTTTGTTTAAATTTTTTCATTTTGTATTTCGTTTTCAATTTATCCTGAATGTTTTTTGGAAACTATATCTTGTATTATTTATTTAATTGCATATTTGGTCTCTTCGGAACAATTAAGTCTTTAAATTCCACAAAAAGCTCCATTTATTCCTATAAAAATTGCTTTTTTAGTACTTTATGGCAATTAAAAAATATTCAAATGATTATGTAAAGGTTATCCATCTTCAAGAAAAAAATAAATTTCTTTAGAATTAATCCCGAAATGAAATTTAATTAAATTTTTGAGATTTTCGAAATCTTACTTAAGTTAATCTTCGCTTATTAAATTTTTTATAACCGGTAATTAAAAAAAAGCATAAAGTAAATTATTTTTTCGTTTTACTTAGTCTAAATTAATAGTATAAATAAATAAATATTCATTTATTTTTTTAGGAAATAAGTCAATGAAAACTTTGAATTTTTCTTTTTGTATTTTTTTCTTTTAAGAATTAAATTATGCATTTTCTTGTCCAAAATAAAATGTGCTTTTTCTCTATGTCTATGAAGTTTTTATTTCCCTTTATAAGTTTTTTTCATTTAAAGATAATAAAGAACTTTTAGCTAATTTAGTTATGAAAAAGTCATTTCTATACTCTAATGGTTTTGTTTAACTTTAGCTTGATGGTTACATTAATTCATTTAAAGTTAATTTATTATACATTTTTTTTACGAAATTTTGTAAATTTGGTACACTTTCATTATTTATAGTTTAATATTTTCTTTATTTTTCATTATTTTCAGCCTTAAACTTTATTTAGCTATTTGTTTAGTATACGAAATTTTGCATAAAAATACTTTTTTAATTATAAGAACTTTTTGGTGTAATTTCGTTTTTTGAATATATAGAATTTTGTATATGCCTATTTTTTTAGCTTTTATTTGATAATTTTAAAAGGTCTACTAATTGTTATTTTTTTAATTATTTTTCTGAAGACATAGCTAACTTTATTTAATAATTTAACCTTTATACTTATTAAGAAGATTAAAGAAGATTTCTTTCTTAATTATAACTTATTTCTTCTATTTTTTTACGATGTGATATTGATGATTTTAATTATCTCATTTATTTTTATTTTAAAATTTTCTTATTTATGAAATAATAATAATTTTATTTTTTCAAAGTATATTTAAAATTAATATTATTTTAATTTTATATGATTGAAGTACTAAGTAAGTAAAAGTTATATATAAATAAAATATAGCTATTAAATATTAATATTAAAGTTTATTTATAAATTGTTTAAATTTAAAAAATAAAACTTAAAAATAAAATCAATGTATACAATAAAATAATAATAAATAAAATATAAAATAAAAAAAAAGTAAATTAAATATATTAATATTGATATAATTATACATTTTAAATTTTTATTTTTTAAATATTTTAATCAATTAAAACTTATTATTTACTTAAATAAAGAATATTAATGGTTTTATGTATTTAAAATTCATATAAATTAAATATTTTTTTTAAAAAATTTCTATTTTCATTAAATTTTTAGTAAATAAAATATTTTAATTTTATTTTATAAAATATATACTATATATATTTATAATATTAATACAATTAAATTAATACTTCATTATTTTTAAAATTTATAGAATATATGTTTTTTATCATAGTTTAAATTTAGTAAATATATAGTAAGTATAAAATTTAATTGATAAATTATAATAAAAAAGTAAATATTATATAAAAAAAAAAATCATTATTATTCTTTTAAATTAATGAATAAATGATATAGGATAAAAAAATATATAAAATCAAATTTTAGATTCTAAAAAATTATTATAATTTAAAATATAGTTTTTAATTTATTATTATATATTATAATAAATTTTATATATTATGTTTTTTTTATCAAAATAATATTAATATTTAAAATATAAAATAAAATAAAAAAAATAAAAATAACATAATATATATAAATAAATATATATATATATATATATTTATATATATATATATATATATATAATATTTTTTTTTCTCATTTATTTAAAGAAATTTTATTTACATATGTTTTTTTATGTTTTTTTAAAAGTCAAAAAAAAATAAAAAAAAATTTATAATTAAAGAATTATTTTTAATTATTTTTAGATAAATTAAAAAAAAAAATGTCTCTTTCTTTATTCGGTTTAAAAAACAACTATTATAAAAACGGTAATTTAGCAAATATAAAATTAATTTATCTTAAAACTATAATTTTATTATAAAATCAAATTAAAATATAAACATTAAATAAAAATAGGTATTTGGTGGTTCACAAAAATACTAAATAGAGCTGTAGGAGAAGATAGATATGACAAAATTCGTGTTTATAGAAGAACACTTTAAAATAAAATTTATTATGTAATATTTTAAAATTAAACAATATTAATAATAAAAATACAATATTATTAAAAATGTTTTTTCAATCTTTATAAATTTATGTTATTATTATTTTTATATGTTTTTGTTTTTTATTAAATAGACTAGATAATAAATGCTTTATGAAATATTTATTGAACATCCAGATATCGCATAACATGTAAAAATAAAATTATATAATTTTGTTTCTTTTACTTATTAATTATTTTATTTTATTTTCTATAAAATAAGATTGGTAAATGATAAAATAAAAAGAAAATTTTAATTTAATTATTAATAAAAAAAAATTATGAAAAGGTATTTATCCTAAAATTGATTCAACTCATGGTTTCACTTATTAAAGTATTTATATTTTTATTTTTATAATATATAAATAATATTTATTTTCATCTTTTGTATTTATATACTTTTTTTATAATATTATAGATACTTATGAAATGTATAGAGATTTCTAAGAAAATACTCTTAATTCTGATGTAATTAAAAATATATATATTTAATAAAACTTAAAATATATTTAAAAAGGGTTCATTCTCTTAATGGATTACACTTGTTTGTGGAATTTATGTCAGTAATACTAAATAAAATAATTATATTTATAAATTAAATATAAAAAAAAAGTTCATGTGATATATAGTTATTTGATTCCATATTATTGGTATTTAATATTATTAATAAATTTTAAATTGAATATTAATAAAAAATATAGGGTTTCGACTCCTTTGAAAAATGAAGAATATACCAGATTAAGAATGAGAGACTATATTGCATCTTCTGTTTTAGAAGAAATTTATGGCATTTAATGGGCTGAATGGGCGTATTTATTTTTTTTAAATAAAATAAAATTAATATAAATATAAATATATAATTTAGATGGCTCCCCCATGATTTTGCCTATAATAGAATTAGAGGTATTTAAGGTTATATGCACCCTGATGATCCTAGAGCTATGTGCACATCCACTTTCAATAGTATTAAATATAAAAATATATTTTTATTAATTTATAAAAATATAGGAAGGCATAAATATAGAGAACACGAAATGGAAAGAGCTGGAGATTTTAATCATATGACTTACCCAAAATGAATTTTCTTTTTTTATTAATTTTAGAATTATTTTTATTAATTTTTATCCCTTTTTTTTTATTATTATTATTTTAAAATTAAATATACATAAATAATAAAAATATCTTATATAAAAAATGATAAAATAAACTCATATTTTAAAAAATAAAATTAAGATAATTTTTGTTGTAAAATAATTTAAGTTTTTTATTATTAATAACAAAAATATAATGTTTTTTTTTTTTTATTTGATAATTAAATATAATTATTTAAAAAATAATTTATATAATAATATTATTGTTAGTAAATACTTAAATTATTTTACACTATTTAGGTATTAAAAAAAATTATTGCTGTTTATATATAACATTTTTTAACTATTATTTCTTGAAATTTATTAATTTTATTGACTTTTGTATTACACTTAACAAAAAATGTTATGATTATATTATAATTTATATAAAAATATTAAAATTTCGAGGGGAGGGAAGTAGGCCGAATCAGAATAAAATTAGAAAACATTTAAAAAAAAATACTTAAATTTTTACATTTAAAATTCATAAAATTGTGTTTAATAAATAAATATTATTAATAATTAACCTAATAATATTAATATTTTTTTATATTATATTTACTTATAAAAATTTTATTGATTAGTTAAATTATTTTTTTGCCAATAAAAATTAATTTTAAATATTTAAATCTGACATATAAAAAGAATAACTTCAAATAGCTTTAGAACTTTAAAATAATTTATCAACAAGTAAAATAGTTTTAGTGGTTAATTTAAATTATCAGGATTTTTATAATGATGTTTTCATTTAATTTTTAAAGATTCTGACATACAAATACTTTAAAAAAGGCTTTTTAGTATTTTAAAACCAAATTGAAGTATTTTATTTATAATAGATGTTTTTCTGTACAGATATCTAAATGTGGCAGATTTTATTACTGCTATTTTTAATGGATTATAAACCAAAAAATGCATATTAAAAATAAAGATAAATATGTTATAGTAACATGGCATAAAATTGCTAATTCAAAAGATAACTTAACTCATACTGATTATTCTGTTTATCTTTAGTTTACTTCTAAAATCGCATATTAGAAAATTTGTTTAGTTTTTGGTTTCTTAGTATTATTTAAATACTTGTTTTTCAAACATGTTTGGAAATTAATAGTGATTTTATAAATATTTTTTAGATTTTTTGGAGAACCAGAAACTAAAGTTTCTGGATTAAATATTACTATAATAAATATACGAAATGTTAACTTGATAAGTCTTTTTACAGTAGAATTTTTGTATAAAAACATGTTAATATTTTAGGAATTTCTTAGCCTGAAAAGCGTTTTTTATACAAGGAAAATAATAAATAATTGATTTAAATCCATATGTGATATAACTTAATTAACTCTTTAAAAATAACTTTTTTTTTTTTGAATATTCAGGTAGATATTATGAACGAAAAAAGTAATAATAAATTTGAACTTTGGACCATTTTTGGATAAAATAAATATTCACTAGGTGTATTTGTAGGTGGGAATTTTTTATTTTTTTTTCGGCTGGGAAATACTTTATGAATTTTCGATTGAGGTGTATTATAATGATTTTATTATTTTTATTGTGTTTAGAAAGTTATAACGAACAATATTATAGTCGTACTAAGAAACAAGAAAATTGGTACCTGGGAATGTACTTGAGATTTATTTTTTTATAAAAAATAATAATATATAATCAAAAGTGTCGACGAGGTAAATATTTTGTAAAGACAAAAGAAATAACTAGTGTGAATTATTTATGTCATATTCAATGTAAAAATTGTTCTAAATATTAATTTAATTCCTAATAAATATGTATATTATGGATGTAAGTAAACTTTTTGTAAAATAATGTATTTTAAACTGTCTAATATAATTAATTATTTTAATAAATAAATTGGTATTAGAGTATTAATATTTTTATGTTTATAAATCTATTTTATTAATATATTTACTTTTCGAATTAAAATTATATAAACTTAAAAAATAACAAAAAAATCAATTTCTATAAACAGCTAAAGAAGATCTCCTCATTTCTTCGACTTATTTTTTAGATTAAATAACTCTACTTCTTAGGCATTCGATTTCTGTGAAAAGTTATACACATAACATTAATAAATCATGAATTCGGACTTATAAATCATTAATATTTACAATTTATTATTTTAACTGACAATTTTCAGTTTCTAGTTCTGTATTTGCTTGATTTAATCTATCAATTTCTTAATTTAATATTCTATTTTTTTCTCTCAAAATATTTAATTCATGTAATGTTTATTCTAGTTTTTAATATCTTATTTACCATTATTATATTTCTTCGTCCCTTTTTTATAATAAGAGCCTTAGTCTGTCTATTTCATTAGTCAAAAGTACTACTTTAGCCTCCCAATCTTACAATTCTTTTTAGTTTTTGCTTCTTTTTACTTTCATGTCTTAATTTTCAGATAAAGAGTCTTATAGTTATCTACTTAAAAGTTCCAATTATTAAGTTAGTTCTAAAATTCTTTGATTCTAAGCCCTAATTTAAGCTTCATAATTTCTACAAGTATTTTCTAAATTTAAACATTTGTTTCTCCAATCATCTGTTTCTTTTTATTTTTAATCAATTATAGTTTTAAGTCTTTCGATTTCTTATTAAAAACTCACTTTTTTTTTTTTTTTATTTTTCTTTTAATAAAAATAAAAAAACTACTTAATCTGTTTTCATATTCTATAACTTTTTGTTCAATGTTTTAATATTTTTATATTTATTATTCTAATTAAATTATTCTTTAACGATATTATTCAATTTCTTGAATTTTAATTGATATTATCTAATTTAACCTTTCAATTTCTTAACTTAAAATAATAATTCGATTTTCATATTCTCTTAGTTTAACTTCGATTAGTTTTGCTTATTCATACTATCTTTCAAGATTATTATATTTGATTTTCTCATCTTAAAGAATTTAAGTTAATTGTCTTATTTATTATTCCATTTCTCTACATCTTTCCTCGAATTATTTCAAAACTAATATTTAATTTTCAAATTTCTTGCATTTTTCTTTATATTCTAGAAATTATATATATATTTATATATATATATATATATATATATATATATATATATATATATTTTTTACCTGCACTTTCATTATTTTTTACATTTATAACTTCATTTAATCTTTGAATCTCTTAAGTAAGTATAACAACTCTATTTTCATATTCTTTAATTCTTGCTTCGTAACTTCTTATTTAAGACACTTATAATTCTAATTCACTTATTCTATTTCTATTATTATCATTTTCTTGATGCATAGTTCTAATCACTTAATTAAGTCTTTCTAGTTCTAATGTAAATTATCCAATTTTATTTTCATATTCTTTACACATTTCTTAATATCTTCTCAATTCTTCAATTATTCTTTCTTGTTTTTGGAATCTTCCTTTCCATTCTTCTATATTTTAAACTAGAATTATTATTTATTTGTCCTTTTCTTATAATAATGATTCTAGTTTTTTTAATTCATTGATTTAATACTCTTATTATTAATGAGATCTTTTTAAATTTTCCAAATCATTATTTTTTTAACCTATCATTTATCTAATTCTTTCATTTTCAACAGCTAAATTTGCACATTTATCTTCAAGTTCGCTTACTTTTTAATCTTTTATACGATTTGAATCATTATAGCTATTTTTTTATATATATTTTATAATATATATTAATTTTTTTTACTTTCTTTTTAAAGAATCGAAATCGTATTCTTTTTAAGCTAAAGCTTGCTTTAATTAATAACATTCAGATTCATATGAATTCTTTTATTCAGATATTATTTCTAATTAAGATATTTAGATATCTTATTAGTCACAAATTCTCTTCCAATATTCTATTTCATCATCTTTTGCTGAAAATATTTCCTTTAAAGCATCAGTTCCGGATTTCCAGTCTTTTTTAGATACGGGATTTGCTACTTTAGATGTATCAACTTTACTTTATATTACACTTGTTAAACGTTATACCTAGATGCTTGCAGTTTAGTTAAATTAGCTTGAGGAATTTTTCATTTGTAGTTTTATTTTTAAATTTTAAATTTTTTTTATTATTGTTTTTTTATTATTTTATTATTAATTTAAATATTATATAATATATTAATTTTTTTTTTTTTTAGTAAAGTATTTTTATTTTTATTTCTGTTTTTTATTTTAAAAAATTATATATAATAAAATTAAAAATGATTATTTTTAAAATAATTGATTAATTGTTAAGGGTAAGATATGCTGTATTTTATAAAATAATAAAAAATTTATAAAAAAAAATATATTAAGTAATTTAATAAATAAGAGAAATTTTATTATATTAATTTATAATAAAAGAATATAAATATATATATATAAATATATATATATATATATATATATATATATAATTCTTTTGTTTTAAATTATAATAAAAAAATTTGTTGAAATATTTATATATTTGATTATATATTAAATTATTTTAATTTATTTTAAATATTTTACATTATAATAATTATAATTATATAAATTTAGCTAATTTTTTTATTTTTATTTTAATAAAAATTACATATTTAATTAATAAAAATATAAATTAAATTTAATTTTAAAATTAATAGAAATATATAATATTAACTTTTTTTATAATAAAATATTATAAATAATTATTTTATTAACTAAAATCATATTAATTATAAGTATCATAATCTTGACTACTTCTAATTCTATAATTAATGTGTAATATTTCTTATAATATGACACCCTTCCTATTTATTAGTAGGACTTCCTTCTTTTTTTAATGGATATTAAAGAGAGAATTTATTATTAACAATAAATAAAGGATTATATTGATTTTTAATAACCTTTAAATTAATTATAATTTAAATTATAAAAAAAAAAAAAAAAAAATACATCATCATTAACTGAAATTCCATCTAGATATTACTTTAATAAATATTTGAGCGTTTAGTTATTTTTATATAGTTAAACCTTTTAACTTTAAATAGCGATTTTATCAAGTAATACTTTATTAAATCTTTTAAAGAAATTATCTAAATATTTATATTCTTCTGATTTATCTTTTTATAAATGAATATATTCTTGAGTGTATTTTTCGGGAATTTCACTAATATCTGAAGTTTATTTATAAAAAGGAATAATTTTTTCTTATTCAGTTTCGAATTTTCTACATAATTCTGCAGTTTCAAGAATTCTTTAACCTAATTTAATATAGTCTTTTAATTGAATTACTGTATTTCTTGAGTTATTAGTTAGTTCTTTAAGCCTTCTGGTTTCTTCTTCTCTAAACCTTATCATTTTATGTTTGAGATCATGATAATTTTTTAAAATATTGTCCTTTTCCTTAAGTAAACCTTAATTTCTTAACATAAAGTCCTAATGATGTTATAAAATTTTAATCTTTTCAAGATCAATTCTAGCTTTTTTAAAACTAATCATTCTTAAATATCTATCAATTTCTTTTTTTTTAATCTTATTATGATTATGGTAATATTGATGTTCCTAAAATTTATTACTTGTATCACTTTAAAATTTAGAATTCATTTATTCTAATTCAGTATAATATTTAGTTTATTTTGACTCTAGTATTATTTTCATTACATTTATTTCTTCTAAATTTTTATTTTTGGTTTCTTCTTTGAATTATGAATATTCATTTTATTAATCATCTCGATTTTTTTTTTCTTCATCTTTTACTGTTTCTATAATATCTTCTAATTCAGATAACTAAATATTTATAGTAAATATAAAACAAATAAATATATGTATATATATATAAAAAAAATATTTATAAAATAAATATTATATATATATATTATATATATATATATATATATATATATATATATATATATATTTTACATGTTATTAGTTAGTTTTGATCATGCTTTATCTTTCTATTTCAAATTCATCTTCTAATATTTATATGTCTCTTTAAAATTCTTCTGTTAAACCCTTTAATCGTTAGTTTTGCAATTCTAATAAACTTTCTAAATGTAATAATTGATTTTTTACAGTTACTTAGTATAGATCTTCATTTTCGTCAATATTTCGGTCTAGTAGTTATATTAAAGCATCCTTAGAATCTAATTCTCGTTAAATATTTAATGCATATATGTTAATTTAGTATCTTAATTCTTCGGTTTTTGACATTCTTAATATTTTTCTCCAATATGTTAATAATTTATTCCTGTTTAAAAGCATTAGTTTTTATTCATTTTTTAGTCTGATTCGCAATTCGTCTTTGTTAATTTTTGAAAGTTATTAAAATTAATCAAAATCTTCCTAATTTTTAATTATTTATCTCAAATTTTATATTTCGCAAACGGGGCATACCCCCTGCTTTTGTAGTTCTCCCTTTTAATGTTTTACCAAGTAGTCCCATTATATATAAAGGTTATGTAATTATTATATAATAAAATTAAGTTGTTTAATAAAATTTTATTTTATAATAAATTATATTAATATTATAATGCAAAATATTTAATTATTAAAAATAAAATAAAACGTATTAATTTATAAATTAAATATTTTCTAAAATTTTATTTTAATATTAATTTTAGAAAAAATAAAAAAGAATATAAATTTAATGTAAATAAAAATTTATTTATTTCAGTAAAATAAAAAATTGATATAAATTTAAATAATATAAATATATAAAATTAATTTTATTTATTAAAAGAAATTTAAAAATAAAAGTATAAAAAAAATATATAGGATATAAAAATAAAAATATATTTAAAAAAATAAAAAAAAAAACATCAAAATTTTTTATTGCATATAACAATAATAAAAATATACTAACAGATAAAATTAATACCATAATTTAAAAAAATAAATATATTTATATAAATATATATATATATATATATATATATATATATTTTATTTCTAAATATATATATAAAAAAATTATTTTTTCATATTAATTTCTAAACTTCATCAATAACTACATCTCCTACTTTTTCAATATTAGAAATAATACAACAACAGCATTTCTATACATGTTCAACTACAACTTCAGCCCCTTCTCCTGCTACTTCGAAAGTTTTTTCGAAAATCTACTTAGAACAACAACAACTGCAGCAATCTGAAATTTTATCACAACATCCTCCACAACATCCTGTAATTTTAGAAATTCCATTACTTGCTTCTTTCCCTATATCTTATATAATTGTTGTTGTGCAACAATTACTGCAACATCTTTAACAACATCCATATGTTTTTGATGCTCCTTCACTTATTCCATCCCCTAGTTATTGAATGATACCCATACTACAACATCCATGGAAACATGATCCGACTCTAGTAAAACAAGCAACACAACATCCAGTTATATTTTCAGCTTAATTTTCCAGTTCGTTTCCTATTTTTGCCGCATCATTACATGTAAAGCATTAGGTGCATATTACTCCTGTACCTATGCAGCATTTTTCACAACATCCGATTATAATTCGTTATCCTCCTTATAATTATTGTCCTATTTTTCCTACAAATTCACTAGTGCAGGTGTTTATGCAACATTCACCTATTCTGCCGCATAAATTACCGCAATATCCTTATACTTGAGAGCTTCCTTCATATACTCCTTTACCTACTTCTTACATTAGGTTAGTGTTACAGCAATCTCTACAGAAATCACCACAACGTATAAATAAACTTTCACAACAACCGATTTATTTTGCACCATAGTTTGATAAATTACTTCCGTCGAAAAAATTTGAACAGGCATTTGATAATGCATTGCACCAACCGCCAAAATTTCCACAGCATTTACTTCCACATTAAAATATACTGTCACAACATGGCTATATGTTATTATTGAAACAGCCAGAGCAACATAGACCACACGTGGCTCTCATTAAGCCATATATAGATGCACATGGAGATATTAAAACATAAAATATACAATCACATATCCATTTCCCGCAACTATCGTTTTTACTAAATAAACTACAACAACATTTTGGATTACCTGGACCACCACCAACAAAAACTGGAACAATATATGTGGTTCCGTTATATATATCTTTCTTTTTTTAAACTATTTTTACTATTTTAGGTTACTTGGCATTTTAGGGAGTATTATTATTTTATGAATCATTCTAATTAAAAGGTTGTACTTATCCGTTAATTCCTTAATAAAATATTGTTTGGGGATATTATTAGGGTTAGTATTATTATTATTATTATTATTATTATGATTATGATTATTATTGATTTGATTGAGTATTTAGTTGCTAATTTTCAATTTAGATTTATTGTGTGTATTATTCTATATTTGTTACATGAGGATTTACCATTACAGGAGGTTACATTTAGTTTTATGGAGGGCCGTATTAATTATTAGGATTTCCTTAAAATTAATTTTACATTTGGTGTTTCGAAATTTTTATTTGTTTATATTAATAATTTTTAATATTTTATTTTAAAAGTTATATATTTGTATTATTATTTTTTAATAATTTTTTTTTTCTTATTAACTATTTAAATATTTTTTATATGGCATTTTTATTTATAATTATATTTAAAATAAAATATAATTTTTTACTTCAAAAAAGTTATTTACATTTTAATAAAAAAATATTATAATTATCCTTTTTTATTTTTATCATAAATATTATTTTTTATTAAATAAATACAAATATTTGAGTTTATATATATATATTTATATATTATATTTATTTAAAAATAAAATAATATAAGAAAATTGTTTAATTTATTTTAATAAATATTAAATTTTTTTTGTTAAATAAAATTTTATTTTTTACAACAAAAAAACCTTTTTTTATAGATTTTATTTTTATTTTTCAATATAAACATATTTAAAAGAATCTAATTTTAGTTTTTTTCATATAGAAAAATTTTCCATATTTTATATATATACCCTTTTAATATATTTAATCATAAAATATAGATACTTAAGGAAAATTAAACTATATATTTTCATCATGAAAATCATCTAAAAACGAACTATATATATTAAAACAAAATTTTTCTACTTTATGATGAAGTTCAATATTTTAATCAAACAAAAAAATTTTAATTTTAATATTCCTCTTTAATTTATTTTTTTAAATAATATAATATAAAAATATATTTATTTAAAATTTACTATTTATTATTTATAAAAATCATTATTTATATACTTTTCTTTAATTATTTTATCAGACAATCTAGCTATAGCTTCCATAAATTCAGTTAAACTCATACTCATATATTAATCAGTATTAATATTATTTATTTTACTAATAATACTATTTTTAAATATCCAATTTAAATCTTTTTCATCTATTTAATCAACGGTAATTCCTACTTAAGTAATAAAACTTTTAAACTCTTACAAATTCAAACTTTTAATTTGATTAGAAAAGTTTAATTTTTATAAAGACCCTGCAAATTTCTTAAAAATAAAAATAAAAATAATTAATAATAAAAATAAAAAAAATTAATAAAAGAACTTTGTATATAATTTTAAAAATATTAAAATAATATTTAAAAGTAATATCCATTTATTCATTAAATAAAATTTCTTCCCTCCATTCATTTTAAAGCTTATTTTTTTTCAAACAAAATAAAAATCCATCATTAAATAATTATTAGACTGCAGATTCGATTAATTAATGTAATCCATTTTAAATATACTTTTCTTTTGCCAATTTAATAATTATATTAAGAAATTAAAACCTAATAATTCCTTTTTCTTAAGTTATATGCTATTATTAAAAGAGTTTTTTACGAATTATTGAATTATTACTAAAAGTATTAAAAAAATTTAAAACATCTACTCTTTTTAGATATTTTTCATCAATAATTTTCCCAAAATGTAAAAATTCACAGAAATTTTCAAAAGAAAGGAATTAAAATAAGCCCTAATGATCAATTATTGAGTAAAAATTAAAAGAATTATTAATAAAAATATAGTTTTTTTCAAATAAACTTCTTATTTTAGACAAAGAATCTTAATCTTTTATCAAAAACTCAATTTTGGACTATTCCCAATCAAATTCGAAGCATTTTTTTAAGTGAATTTCAGAATCGAAATCGAAATATTTAAATATCATCTTTTCCATATCAAACTCTTCTATATTTTTGTTAAGAATATTGTTTTTTCTAATTTAAGATAATAAACAACGGGGTCTTATATTTAAATCTACTTGATATTTTTCATTAATGAAACTTTTTTGACTTTTATTAGTAGAGAGAATGTTATATTTTATATTTTTTTCTTCAAAAATTAATGTTTAGGCATCTTTTTATATAAAAATACTATTTTTTTAATCAGAAGAAAAATAATATTTAATTTATTAAAGAGGAGGGACCATTCTTTTTATTGAAAAATGCTCATTTTTAAGTTCTTTTAACATAAGAGAAGGCTTAAAATAATCTATTTCTAAATGTAAATATAAGGTTTATGTGTTTTATGGCAAAATCCCGCTTAATTCTCCTTTCCAAGTAAAATTATACTATATCCATCCTTCACATATCCAACAATTGTCCCCATATTATAAATTTATTTATTCATGTAAATCTCTCTTCTTTTTGTTGTAATAGATATTGTTTATTATTTTTATAGAGTTAATAGGTATATATTAAAATAAGTTTTATTAAATATTGTTTTCTTCTAAAAAATTTAGTTATTACAAAGAATCCATATAACAATCAAATCCGTTTGATATATGAAAACCAAATATATTATTGTTTTAATTTAAAAAAGTACCAATTTAAAATAAGTCTTCTTTTTAAAAATAATTTTGACGTAAATCTATATGTAAAAGAGATTAGTCAGAATTTAATTGTATCATTTATTAAATATTTGATATCAATTTTTCTATGAGGTAGAAAATATAAACATATTTAATATATGAATAATATAAATATATATATATATATATATATATATATATATATATATATATATTTATATAACTATTACATTTATATATTTAATTGCCATGTCCTAGTGAATTTTAAGAAATATCAAAAACTTTTATAACTAATCCAACTTTTTAAAAACCTTAAAAAATCACTAAACCACTTTCTGCATCAAATTGATTTCCTCTAATATATAATTCTTTTAAATTTTCTAAATTTCTAATTATTTTTTGCATAAAAATTCCACCTTATACATTTTTAAATAAATTATCTGATAAATCTATAATTTCTAAAGATTATACTTATAAAAAATCTTGAATAAAAAATTCTAAAGAATTATCGTTAATTGAACATTTTTATAATTTTAAAATAATTAAGTTAATTTATTAATAACTTAATTTGAAAAATAAACTTTAAAGATTTTTAATTTACAAGATATTTTATGAAAAATCTATTTCTTCTATTCCTTTATTTAAACTTTCAATTAAAAATTCCAAACTGATATAATTTAGTCTATTATCCTTTAATTTTATCTATTTAATAATATTATTTACTTATTATTTTAATCCAGCGGATATTACTCGTCCATATTTTTCACCTATTTTATAATGAGAAATATTAATTTGTGTTTATTCTGTATTTTAGGTAAACCCGAGTTTTTTTGGGAGAAGGTTTTGGTTATTTTCTTCTTTTAAAATTTCCAAAAATTTATTTTCTTTGTAGTATTTTACCAAATTTTTTTATTTTTAAATCAGTTCATATAGGTCTGATTGTCTTTCGATATTTTTGTATACTTTTTCATATTTTTCGTATGCTTTTTGACATTTTTTTTTATCTTTTATATATAGCTTTTTTATGTAAAATAATGATTTATTATCATCTTCGTTTTCCTCTTTTATGTCTAGTATATTCAAAAATTATAAGTTTTTGAATTATTGTAATTTTTAGGGACTTACTTTCCTTAATTATGGTGATATGGACCTTATTTAATTCTTAATATGGTAAATTTTTAATGGATTTTCGGAAGTTTCGTTCAATATTGAAAAATGGGATTTATCTTTTGGGGATATTTAGATATTTTGTGTTTAATTTAGAGGAGATTCTATTGGATTATGGGATTTTTTTTTTTGTTATTTTGGAGATAAGGATCCTTTTTGGATATTTTTTGGAGAATTTAAATGAAATTTTATTATTTTGGGAAGTTATATGTTTAAAGAACCTTTTAACATTTTTTTTATTTAAATTTTTTATTTTTTAATTTGTTTTTAAAGGTAGAGTTTTTTATTTTTACTGTTTATATTTGAATTTTTTAGTTCTTATTAATATATTACATTGTTTTTTTTTTGTTATAAATATTAAATGAATAATTCAATTAAAATATGAAGTTTTATTAATATTTTTTCTAATTTTATTATAAAAGTATATTTATAATATAAATTAAAGTAATATATTAATTTTATGATAAATATATATCCCCCCCCCCCCCCCGCCTTAAAGTAAAATTAAAAAAAAAAATATGTAAATTAAATTAAAATTATAAAAATTATAAGAAATAAATTAAACAAAAAAAGGGAAATAATATAAACTAAAAAAAAAAAAAAAAAAAAAAAAATGAATAAAATCTACCAAAAATAATCTTAAAATCATAAAAAATAAAATTCTCAAAATACAAATTAAAAATAATCCGATTCACCAGAAGATCTCTCAAAAAACTATTTAAAGGATACATAATAATTACATAAGCAAAAACTTTAAGAAATTTAGCAAATATTAGGGACAGAAATATCAAAAAAGAAATATTCATAAGCATTACGTTTATCAAATTATGACTTAGAAAAAACAATAGAAATTTTATTGGAAGAAAAAACAAAGCCTCCTGACAAAAAAGAAACTTATTAAAAAAAAAGTAATGAGAAATCGACAATACCAAGTACAAATAATAGTCCTCCATAAAAAAATAATTCATACAAATATTAGAAATAGTTAGATTTTTTTAAGGAATGTTATCAAAATATACATGAAAATATTATAAAACATCTACTAAATTAAGAAAATGGAAATGAAGAATAAATAGTATAAATCCTAATGAACGAATAAAGCCTATAATCGATAAAATTGGCTTTGGATTTAAATGAAGAAAACGTTGAAGAGGAAGATTATGAACGTTTAGAAGAAATAATTAAAGAAATTTTTTAAGAATAATAGAATAAAGATAACTTTAAATTATAGGAAATTTTAAAAGAAGACTTTTAAGTAAATATGAATTGTGCAAAAAATGATTAAGACGAAGATTTTCCATCAATACTTAAAAAATAATAAGAAATTACCATATAAAATGATATAATTAAAAATATTTAAAAAAATCTGCCGAAAGACATTGATTCTTTAAAAAATTAATGGAATGGAAGAGCAGCAGTTTTCTCAGATGTATAAGTTTCTGAATTAGGAAAATAATATTTAATTAATTTAAGTGATTAGTTCCTTCATGTAGAAAAAGATGATATTGCATCTGTTTTTATATGTTTGTAAGAAAATTATGAATAAACATTACTTATTTTATAATAAATATATGGAAATTCAAATATATCTTAGTAAATTTATAAAAGTAAATAAAAAATGATATTATAATTATATAATAAAAATATATATAAATATAAATATATATATATATATATATATATATACATATATATATATTTAATTTTATTTTTTTATATTTTTTTTATTTTATAAAGTTTAAATAAAAATTAAGTAACCTAATAATTAAAAAGAAAATTTAATATTAGAAAACGAAGATTATTAAAATTAACTTGTTTTTGTAAATTCTATTGCTTTTAAATATTTAAAGTAATTTTCTTATTAAGATATTAGGTAAATGGTTATTGAAAACAAAAAAATTTAACATTGTGTTAGAGTTTCTAAAAAAAATGGTGATACTTAAGCTCTTATTAATCTTAATAAAGTTCTTAATTAATAAAATAATAATTTTAGTTTGGCAGAATTATAATAATATTCAAAGTATTTGTACTTTTAATAGCTTAAAAATGCAAGTAAAGTTAACTTAGTGGATCTTCATACTTATTTTGTGGATGAAGCGCTGATATTCTTATAAGATTTAATTGATTTTATGTAAAGCTTGGTTATTTAATAACCATAAAAGTTAGATTTTAGATAATGTAACGGGAGAAAATGTTTTACTTTGGAAATAATTACTGGGAAAGGAAACCATAGTGTTGGAAATAAGAGCGTTTTATAAGGAAAAGTTTTGAAATTTATTAAAGAAAAAAATTTTCTTGCAAATCTTAATGAAAGTAATAATGGTAAAGTTAATGCTATTATTCCTTGTTGTTGAGAATTTTTGTTGGTATTTAATATTATTTTTAAAAATACTTATATATATTTTTTAGATTTTTATTATTTTTACATTTGTGAATTTATTTATATATATTAATAATAAAAGTAAATATATAATTAACTTTATTTAAATTTTATATTAAATTTCATTTTTTCAAAACTTTTTTTTTTTTTCTAAACAGTTAATTTTTATTTTATAGGTAAAAAATATAAATCATAATTAATTTTTAAAAGTTTTATATTTAATATTAGTTATAAAAATAATAATTATATTGTTTTTTTTGTTTTTTTTCATTCACAAGAGTTTATTTCGTACTATACTTTCATATTATTATATTTATCAGGTAAACTTTAAAAAACAAGTATATTTATTTATTAATCTTTATAATTTTTAACTTAAAATTAAATTCTATAATTAATTCCCGCAACAATTTAATACTGAGCAGTTTAAACTAATTCTCCTAAAACAATTTTTTAGTTTAGATTGCATTTACTAAACACATTTTATTTCGCGAATAATACTGCTTCTTTAAAGCCGGCGGGTGGATCCTCTAAATTAACTGGAGCAAAACCACCAGTCAAATATCTTATTTTTTTTTGACATTAAATTAGGCTAATACAAATAATTAAAAGTAATATCGTGTTTAAAATTTTCATATTATTTTTTAAGGTATTTTTACTATTGTTTTATATAATATTATTATTGTTATTTTTTATTTAGTTTTCTAATAAAAAATATATATATAAATATTAAAGTTTTTAATAAAGTTGTATTGTAATTATCTTTAATATATACATATATTTAATTTTTATTCTTTCATAATAAATTTGGCAATTTTTATTATTCATTAAAAATAATATAATAATACTTGCTAAAGTATATATATTTTTTTAATTATTAATTAATTTTTATATAAATTGATTTTTTCTTTTTCTCATAATTATAAAAAAATTAAATAAACTTAAACATATATTTTTTAGTTAAATATTATTATCATTTTTTTATTAAAATATTTTATTTTTCATAAGATGTTTATAATATATATATGTATTTTTTTTTTCATTAGCAATTTAATATTTTATACATTACTTTCATATTTTATGATTTATCTGGTAAACTCTAGAATACATTAACTGTAACCAATTTATTATTATTATTCAATGCTTAAAATTATATTTTATAATTAACTCCGGCTACAATTTAATATGTTGCATCTTATACTTCACCTAAAGTAACATTTTATTTAAGATTGCATTTCTAATGAGCATTTTATTTTGCAAATTAAACAGCTTTATTAAATCCAAAAGGGGGATTTTTAAAATTAACAGGATTAAATCCACCAAGTAAAGTTTTTTTTTTAATAAAGCAGTTAGCTTACAAACAAAGAACAGCTAAAAAGAAAGTTATTAAGATAAATTTCATTATATATAATTGCTTTTTTTATTAATAAATAAATAATAATTTATTATATTTTTTCCTTAATCTTAGAGTAGAATTTAATATATATATTTTAAAATAAATATATATATATATATACATATATATATATATATATATATATATATATATATATATATATATATGTTTTTATTTTTTCCCTTCATAAAATATATAAAAATCAATTTTTTATTTTTTGATTTATTAAAATCTTTCAAAATTCATATATAATTATATATATATATATATATTGAAAAAATATTAAATTTAATTTTATATTAAAATTGTATGTATTTTCATTAATTAAAAAAAAAATTATATGTTTTTAATTTTAAATATTTTTTTTTTTTCTATTTTAAAGATTTTAAAATCATTGTTTATGATATTTATTTTATCTAATTTATTAATCTATATATATATATGAAATCTACTTAAATTTTTAATTAAATAATTACAATTAATCATTAAGAAGAAGTTTAACTTTAAATAACATAAATTTTAGCTTCTCCGTTATTAAGATTTGCAACAAAAGAGTTATTTTAAATAACTATACAATCATTATTAGGCCAAAATACATTACAAATAACATCGCCATTTTTGAAAGGATGATTTATAATAATTCTAGTTATGAAATTGAATTTATTAGTTACTCCAACCCATAATTAACCTCTATAGAAAGCATAAAAATCTGAATCTACATAACTTTCAGTTTAAGGGAAATCATTTATATCAGTACCCCCGAAATTATTTTTTTTATTTTAAAAATTCAAATTACTATTTTTAGCCTAAAGAATTGTTTTTACATATAAATACATTTCTGAATTTGTATTTAAGTTGTTCCATAGAGGTTCTCTATTATAAGGATCTTATCCTCCTGCATAGTATTATTCAGTACCATAATAGAATATTGGAATTCCTATAGAACATAAAGTAAGTACTGTATAACTTTTAAGTAGTGTTTTTAATTAGTCTTGACTTCTACCAGGAGTGCTTAAAAATCTTGGATTATCGTGATTATCAACAAATTAGGCTAAAATAGAGACATCTTAATTTTATTATTACCATTAAGAATAATATGATCTAATTTCATTCATATCTTTTTAGTTTACGAAGATATCTTTAACAGTAAAATAATAAGGGTAGTTCAATACACTTCCAACTGAACTTATATAACCTCCTACGTAACTAAAACTACTGTCAAATACCTCTCCTATAGAAAATACACCAGCTGATTAAGTATAGTTTTTCCAAAAAGCATGAGGAACTTCAGGAACAGTATCTTATTTTTTTGTTATGAATTAATTTTTTATTTATTTTTTACCTATCCTTAAACCATCAATGTTATATGTTTATACTAAGTTTTTTATCCAATTAAATAAATAATTTTATACATAAGGATGCTCAGTATTTAAATCTGCGAGTCCAGCAAGTCTACAGTTTTAGATGTTTTTCATGTTTTTTGATGAAAAGTCTAAATCTGTAATAATACAGTATTCATGATAATATTCAGCAATATTAAAAGGATAATTGCTTGAAAAATTTAAATCGATATTTCCCATATGATTTCCTACAACATCTACCATTACCCATATGTCCTTTAAATGGCAAGCATCAACAAGATCTTTTAATCCTTATTCACCTCCAAAATTAGGGTTTATTCTACTCAAATCTTTCGCAGCGTAACCATGGAATTAATTATCTTAGTTTAAAGGTATAGGAGATATCCAGATTGCATTAAAACCAAGTTCTTTTTTATTTTTAAATAAGAAAAAAAAAAAATTATTAAAAAAAAAAATTGCCTTTAATATAATCTAAATTATTTATAATTCCTTAAAAGTTTCCTCCACAATATTATGGTTAGTGACTTAAGTCGCATGGAGGTCTAGATCTATCTCCAATTGCAAATCTTTATTTTTTTATGATAATAAAATATATGTATGATAAATGTATTTTTTTATAATTGTTTTTTGTTGTTATTGTATAAACTGATTTATTTTTTACCTGTCAGTTATTATTTAATAAATTGTACGAGATTTCCACTCTTGAGCAGTTCTACTATATATAAAAGATATAAATAATGATAAAAATGCAAGTTTAATTATTAATTTCATTTATTGCTTATATAAATTTTTATTTAATATTTTTTTTTTTTCGATAATTTAAATTTTAAATACTTATTTTTTATTTTTATGAAATGAACAAAATAGTAAAATTATATTTTAATTTGTTTTTTTTTTATAAAAAATAATAATATAATATTATTTTAAAATAATAAAATTATTTGTGGCTATAAATAAATTTTAAAAATTAAATTAATTAAAGTTAATTTTTTTATTTTTTAATCGAAAAAAATATCTTTTTAAATTGCTAATAAATCATAATTACAATATTAATATCAAAAAATGATATTGTTTTTATTTTTTTATTCACTTATTTATTAAAATATTTTGTATTATATATATTCTTATTGTTAATAAGTAATTTATTTAAAAAAATTAAAGACTTTTATTTATTAATTATAATAACCTTTAAAGTAGCTTTTTATTCAAAATAAATATAAATAATAGATAATAAAATGTTTAATTTTGATATTCAAATTAAAATAAAATATAAAGAATAAAATAGGGAGTATTTATTTTAAATAAAAATAGTAAATAATATTTAAATTAGTTATTTATTTATTTAAAAAAAAATCTCAATTTTTTTCATGTTTGATATTTTAAATGTATAACTAATTGAAATTAATTTTTACATTATCAATATGTCTATAAGTTTTAAAAAAAGACTTTTACCTAGGAATAAATTTAAAATAACATTCATATACCTATTAAATATTATGATTATTATTATTATTATTATTATTATTATTATTATTATTATTATTATTATTATATTCTTTTTACTATTATATGGATAATTAATAAATGAATGAATTTTTTTTTAAAATAATATTTCTTGACTTTTGAAAGAAGAATTATTAGAAATATAAAGATAGTCTAAATCTTTTGATAATTTTTATTTTTTTTCATTGGATTTAATATGTCCTTCTAAAAGATATTTTTTTTTGCTTTAAATTTTTTTTTTTTCACTCTAAAAATTTTATGTTTTTTCACTTTTTTTTTTTTTTTTTTCAATAATGTATTTCTATATGTTTTTTTATTCACTTTCATTTTTTTTTTCATATTCAAGTATTTTTTATTCTGGAGTATTTAAAATTTCTTTGTTTTGTTTTTTTTTAAAAAATTCTTTTAATTTTTATTTTAAAATTTCCATATCTAAATTATTAGGTGTTTCCTTTAATTATTAAGAATTTTTTCGACTATTTTTTATTGATTTTTGAAAAGATAAATTTGTCCTTTCCGTATATAGAGTAAAGTTTTTAAATTTAGTTCTGTATTTTTTTAATAGAGATACTGTAGTTTATTTCATAATATGTTTTTTTAATTAAGTAAAAGAAGATAGTTATTCTCTTTAAATATTTTATTAAATGCTTTATTCTATATTATTTTCCTCAGATTTTAACTATTTTTCTAAAATGAGATTTTTTAAAATTTAGATTTTTTCACTTTTGCTTTTTTAATGATTAATTTTCAAATCTAAGATTTCTTCTAAATCTTCAGTTTATAAGGTATTAAATTCTTTTTACTTTATTTTTTCACAGTCATTAATTTTTTCGTATTTTTATAGAAAATTAGGAAACATAAATTAGTTATATTTTATTAATTAAGTTTTTATTTTTTATAATCTATTAGTGAGTATATCTTCCCTTTATTTTATATAATCTTCAAATTATTATTTCAATAACGGATTACTCTATAATTATTATTCTATGATTTTCTTTGATAAAATTATTAGTTCACCGCCTTCTACGCTTGTACAATATACTGATTATTTTCTTTTTTCATCTGTTAATAATTCTAACTCTCCAAAAATTTCATATTTTCCTAAAATAGATATCTTTTTTTTTTGTTATAAATAAAAATCAAAAATCAAAAAGGTGCTTTTTTACTTTTATATTCATCATTTTATTTTAAGAAATATTTTAAAAAGGATTTACTTTTTCATTTTCTTGGAAATTTATATTTATTTTTTTGTAAATCTAATTTTTTTTATATAATTAATAAATTATTATATTTTATTGTTAATTTAAAGGTTATATAAATTATATATATTTAATAAAAACTGTAAACTCTCCACTTTTAATAATATAACAATTCAAACTATTTTCTCCTTCAATAAAAACATGTTTTTTTGCTAAAATGCAAATATCAAAAGAATTTAAATGCAAATTCTATTAAAGATTAAAATTTAATTTGCTAAAAAATGGTGCTTTTTGGATATATTTCATCTATTCAAGTAACTTAAAATTTTCTTTTTCTTTTAAAATTAAATCAAACTATTTTTTGTCAATAACAGCAAAATATGTATCTTCCAAACAACTTATAGAGGCCATTCTTTTTCCGTTTTTAATAATTGCAAGCTCCCCAAATGAATCACCTGTAATAAGTTCTTTTACAAAAAACAGTTAAAATTAAGAATCTTCCGGTTTTTTTATATTTTTAGATTTCATATCCTCATTTTCTTCTTTTTTAGATTACAAAAACTAGTTTTTATGTGATTTATTTGTAATGTCTTATTTTTAAACTATTTATTTCATATATACACCCACTTTTCCACTTATTATTATATAAAACTTTTAACCTATTTCATCTTTTTATTTTTTTATTTTTTTTAAAAAAACAAAAACAAAATTAGAATAAAATAAAATAAAATTACCGACATTAAATACAACTTCACCTTTTTTAAAATATTCGTATTTCATATATGTACAGCATAATTTTTGGAAATTATTATTCTCTTATTGGTCTTTATATTGACTAAAAAAGCCTATTTTTTATGTTTCTTATTGTAATAATTATATTTATTATTTATTTCTTTTTAAAGCTGGTGTTTTTAAAATTGCTATTAATTACTTTTTTTTTTTTTTTTTTTTAATTTTTTTTTTTTTTACATCAAGTTTTTAAGAAGCTTCTGTATTCATATTTATATGCAAGTATTTACGTTTTATATAATTTTATTATATATATATATATATATATATTATTAAATTTTTTATTATAATTTATTTAAGTATTTTTATTTTTTTTTTATTTTTTTAAAAATATAATTTATAAAAAATATAATCAAAATAAAGCTTTATTAATAAATAATAAAATGGAATAAATATTTTAAAAATAACTCTAAACTACAAATACAATTATTTAATTATTAAAAGAAGACGAAAATCTGACACAAGAATATCAAATAGTGCTATATTATCATTAAAAAATAGAGGAAATTCACACCGAAATAATCTAATTGAAAGCTGATGATTTTTTTATTCCCGTTTTTAAATTTGTAGATGAATAAATAATAAATAATATAGTGAATTCCGTTAAAAATATGAATTATCATAAATAATAAAAATAAATAAAAGATTTTTTTAATGAAAAACTATAAATAAATGCTTAAAAATTAAAACTAATAAATGGATATTTACTATAATTAAAAGATTTAGATATTACTAACGATTGTATATTTAATATTAAGAAACAAGAAGAACTAAAAAAAGACATTGAATATTATTAAATATAAGAAAATTTAGAAGAATAAATGGAAAATTTCTTAAAAATAGTTTATAGTACATACGGGGCTTTAAAAAATGAAGAAGAAGAAGGAAACATATTAAAAAAATATACAAAACAATTATATTTATATACATAAACTTATACTGCTAAACATAGAACTGAACTTTTTTAAATGAACCCAAAAAAAGAAAAAGTAATAAAAGCTTGGAGGTCTATAGATGAACCTTTTATTAAGAAAGCTTATAAATTGAATTTCGATTATATATAGTTCTCTAACAAAATATATATACCGAAGGATTTATTTGAAAAAATAGATATAAATTTCATAATAAAAAATAGGAATAAATATTTCGTTAATTTTAATGAGGAAAAACACTCGAAAATAATAGACGAGTTTTTTAAAAAAGAAGAAATGGAAAAATAAATAGAAGAAAAAGAAATTAAAAATTAAGAAGATTATAATATTTTAAAAAAATCGAAAAATAAGATAAAATTAAGATTAATTTGTTCATAAAAAATAAACTCTTTTTATAATCAAAGTGAGTCCTGTATATTTTCATGTACTAACTCTAGAAATTAGAAACATTCCGAAATTTAGTAATTCGATTTGATTTTTCATATACATGGTGGAGGATTTGTATCCATGAATTCATATAGTAATTAAATATATACTATAAAATGGGCAAATAAAATCAAATAAAGCTTAATAATATCAATAGATTATTCTAAAAGTCCCGAAAATCCCTATCCAAACGCTTTAAACGATGTCTGGTAAGCCTATAATTATATAATAAAACACCTTCCTAAGAAACTAAACGTGATATTTAACTCAGTAATATTAGCAGGAGATAGTGCAGGAGGTAATTTATGTGTAGGATTGTTAAATTTATTAATATAGGAGAAAAAAATGGATATTATGCCTGATGGACTATAACTTACCTATCCTGCTTTAGGTTTACAAAAGTCCTTTTTTAGTCCAAGTAAATTATATTCACTAACTGAATATATAATGCCTGCTTCATTTCTTTAGATTTGTCTAGAATGCTATATACCGGAAAATTATAGGACATTTTTGGGAGATTTCGATAGTCTTTTAAGCCCTGTTTTGATAGAAAATTCTATCATTTAAAAATTTCCGAAATGCTTTATTAATTGTGGTGAATTAGATCCTCTTTTAGATGATACAGTTAGGTTTTTTTATAAAATTAACTTAAATAGAAATGGTACTTTGAGGATTTTTAAAGGATTGGGACATGGGTATATTAATTATGGAATGAAGTTCGGGGTGGGCATGAGTGCAAGCTAAAAATGTATTGATTATGTGATATATTGCTTGATTTTATTAATTTAGGATAAGAGAAAAAAAAAAACATAGGCGTTTTTCGAAAAAAATTGATTAGAGTTTTTCTGATTATATAATTTATTTATTTTTTTAAAAAAAAAAATAGTAAATTATTATTTATATATATATATATATATATATACTTTTTTATTTTATTTTTTTTTTAATTGAAAATAAATATATTTAATTACAAATAAAAAAATATGATAGAAAAAATACAATTATTAGGTGAATCTCCTCAACCCCGTTTCGGTCATACAATGACCTAAATAAATCCAACAACAATAATCTTATATGGAGGTGCAACAGGTGATACTGGCAAATATAATATAACAGGCGATGTATATTAATGCGATTTAAATTTCCGATAATGGAAAAGATTAACTCCTTCAGGCGTTTCGCCATAAAATAGGGCTGCACATTCAGCAACATCAATCGAAAATAATAATAAAATGGTCATATATGGAGGAGCTACAGGAGGTATAAATATATATATTTATTTTTATTTATTATATTTATTATTATTATTTAAATAAAAAAAATAGGAGGAGGTATGGCAGATGATAATTTATATCTTTTAGATTTTTCATAAGAGAAAGAAACATGGGTAATAATTCCTGTATATGGAACTACTCCAGGAAGAAGATATGGACATACAATTAGCTTTGTGAAACCTTATTTGGTAGTTTTTGGAGGAAATACAGGTTCGGAATCTGTCAATGATTCTTGGGTTTTAAATATTGAAAAAGCGCCTTATAATTGGTAAAAATTAGAAATTTCAAGTGAAAATCCTATAATGAGAGTTTATCATTCGGCAGGTGTTTGCTCCTCAGGGGCAGCAAATGGAATGATGGTAATTTTTGGAGGAAGAACTTAAGATTAATCGGCTTTAAATGATAGTTGGGGATTAAGAAGACACAGGGACGGGAGATGGGATTGGGTAAAAGCTCCTTATAGAATTAATGGAGAATAACCTTTATGTAGATATTAAGTAATATATATATATATATATAAATATATATAGGCTTTGTTTTAAGCATAGTACGATTTTTTAAGGTCCTTTAATGTTTGTTATAGGAGGAAGAAGTAATTAAATTAATGAAAATGTACCTTTGGAAATATATGATACTGAAAGTTCGGATTGGTATAAATTTAATTTTATTTAAAGATTTAGACATTGTGTGTGGATTTTGTAGTAGTATTTATTTATTCATGGAGGTTTTGACTCATTATAACCTAATGTGCCGACTGATTCTAATATTCTAAAAGTTGATATGATAAAATTAGTGGGAAATTATTAGAATTTGACAAGGGTTATTGGGAAATTTGTAGATATTTAAAATGGAGAGTAAAAAGAATAAACGAATAATAAATAATAATAAGTAGATTTGTATTAAAAAAATTAGTAGAAATAAAATAATAATGATGATAATAAATAATAGAATTAATAAGAATTTTCAAAAAATTAAAATTAAAAAATAATAAGGCTTGCTTAAGAAGCAGTTATAGGAGTATCTTATGATCCGAATTCAGAATAAGAAAATTAGACGAAAAAAGTTGCAATTTAAAAATTATAAAAATAAGGAATAAAATTAAGTATTATTAATAGAATTAAACTATAAAAATATATTTAAATAAATACATATATTTTTATTAATATATATAAATTAATTATTTTACATATATTTTTATATATATATATATTTATATATTTATATATTATATATTTATATATTCTATATTTTATTTATTTTTATATATTAATTTATATTTTATTTAATTATTTTATATATATACATTTTTATTTATTAAGATTAGAATTCTAGATATATTGAAAATTCTGAAATTTCTAATAAAAAATTATATTATGAATCAATCTTTTAAATATTTATAGATAACTTACATTTACCTACTTAATATGAAAATGCTACTTAAAAAGATTATTTATCATATATAAAGAAAGAATATATTCATAAACTATGTGATGAAGTTCAAAAAGTATTCGAAAAAGAGCCTATGTTATTAAGACTAAGAGCTCCAATTAAGATTTTTGGAAATTTAAACGGATAATATGAAGATTTAATGAGGTTTTTTAACCATTTTGGGTCTCCTTTTGATAATTAAAGTCCTGAAGATGATATTGATAATAATGATTATCTATTTTTAGGAAATTATTTAGGTAGAGGTACTATGTAAATAGAGATAATTTTATTATTATTTGCTTTAAAATTGAAGTTTTAGGATTAATTTTTTATGTTAAGGGGTAATATGGAAGATAAGAAAATAAATAAATGCACAGGATTTGCAGATGAGTGTATTTTGAAATTTTAGGAAGATCCAAATGACCCTTTTTCCATTTTTTAGAAAATAAATAAAGTATTTGAGTTTATGCCTTTGGGATGTATTTTGGAAGATAATATTTTTTGTGTACATAGTGGAATAGGAAACTCGATAAAAAATATAGAAGAAATTGAATAAATCCCACGTCCTTTGGAAATCTTTTAAGATCCTAAAACTTATTAACATAAAATTGCATTAGATTTATTATGGAGTGACCCTGTTTTGGATGATTTTTAATAAGAAAATATATAAAATGATGTTCATGATGTTTTTGGTTTCTAAAACGTTATTAGATTTGGGAATTAGAGGATTCAAAACTTTTTAAATGATAATAATCTGGCTTTTATTGTTAGAAGTAATGAATGTGTATTAAAAGGATATTAAAAATAAAGTAATAATATTATTACTATTTTTTCAAATACAAATTATGCGGGGGTTTATTAAAATAATGCAAGTATTCTTTATGTAGGAAAACAAAGGAAAATTTAACCTAAAGTTATTTAATGTAATGTAAATTTTAATAGTTAATAAAATTGGTTTGATTTAGAATAAATAGTTATTTAGAAAAATAATCCTACGAAAAATCTAGATATCGATAAAGATGAAAGTTTACTTAGAAAAAAATAAGGGACTCCTCCAAGAGATGCTGTTATTAAATAATGATTATTCATTTTTTTTTTTTTTCTATTTATTTATATTATATTAAGGCTGTTTTAATACTTTTTATTTTTTCTTTTTTTTTTTTCTATAAAAAAAAACTTTTAAATATTAATTAATGCTTTTCTTTTTTTTAATATATACTAAAAAAATTATTTATATTTTTTAGCTTAAATATATATCTAAAAAAATTATATATTAACAAAAAAAAGAACAAAACATAGATTCATTTAAATTTAAAATAATTTTACTTAAAAAAAAGGAAAATAGAATATTACGAAACGCATAAGTAGTAAAAAAAGATTATATTAGAAAATTAAATAACTAAAATAGTATATATTTAAAAAAAGACAAATAAATCATAAAGAAAGAAAATAATATATCCCATTTTATTATAAGCCAATAAAATAATATAGTAATAAATAATATATTATTTAATAAAATATCGAATTTAAATTATATTATAAGGTGTAAATATCAGAAAAATATTTTATAAGTATCTAAAGAAAATTAAAATGATTAAAAAAACTAATAAAAAATATATTGTTAATATTTTCATTATTTAAAATTAAAAATTTAAGAATAAAAAAAAAAAATTTGATGTTTGAAAAAATTTAAAAAATTAAAAGAAATATAAAAGACTAATAAAAAGAAAGATATTTGAATATAAAAAAAGAAAGTAAAAAAACAAAATTAATATTTTTTTAAAAAAAAATTATAAATAACGAAACAAGTTTAGAATTATAAATTGAAATGTTTATAGAGATAAATTTAAAATATAAAATAAAAATAAGATAAAATGAAATTTTTAAAAACAAAAAAATATAAAAATTTAACTAAAATAATAAAAGAAAAAAATTATAATTAAAATAAAATATTAAAAAAAATTGGAAATATAATAAAATTTGTTAATATATAAAAAAAGATTATATATATTATAAAAAAAAAAAAATTGAAAAAAAAAATGAACATATTGAAAAACAATATTATAAAAAATAATAATAATAATAATAAAATATAATAATAATAATAATAATATAATAATTATAATAATAATTATAATTTTTTTTTATTATTTATATAAGTTAATATTTATTTTTAATTTTCTTATGGATATTTAATATTTTATTTTTATTTTCTATTCACATATATATTTATTTTAATTTATAAATATTTTAATATTATTTAATAAATAATTTTTAATAAATAATGAAATAAAATAATTATAATTTTAATTATTTACTATTTCCAACTAAAATAAGTAAAATAATGATTAATTTATGCCTTCATAAATTGATTAAGAAAATTATATTTAGCCTTTTTATATTGTTTAGACTAAATTTCCAAAAATTTCATTGATTTTACCATTTTTTAGTAATGTAGGAATTGGTTAGTTAAAATTAATATTTTTAATTTCAAAATTATTTTACCAAATATAAAATAGTTCATATGGAAATATTTATAATTAATACAATAATTTTAAAATAAATGTAAAAATTATATTTTATATATTAAATATGAAAATTTGTTATTAGGTTGGAAATTATATTTACAGTTCTAATTAAAAGTATTATTTATTTATATATTATATTTTATTTAATAAAATTAGATATATAAAATTAAAAATATATATAAAAATAAAATTAAATACCATTAAACTATTAATATAAAAAGTAATAAATTAGAATAAATGAAAGTAATAATAAAAAATTTATTATTTAAATTATTATAAAATGTTATTTTTATATTAATAAAAAAGTTTAGAATAGTATTTAAATTTAAAGTTTTTTTTTTAAAAAAAATATAAATTTATTTATTAAATAAAAAGTAATATATGTTAAGTTATATTAATTAAATAAATAATATTTTTAAATATTAAAATAAAAAGAATTGGAAAGTATATGATGTTTTTTATTTATACATATTATAAAATAAAAACATAAGATATATTAAATATTAAATATAAAAATATATGAAATTATATATATAAATAAATATATATATATTTATATTACATATATTTTTTTTTTATATATTTCTATTTTTTATATTATATTATAATAGTTTTATTATATTTATTAAGATATATTATTCATTATTTTTCCTTATTGTCTTAATAGCTTTTATAAATTTTACAATTTTTAGAATATCTTTTTAAATAATTTTATCATCAAGTAAATTATATATATACATATAAATATTTAATTTTATAATGAAATTTTTAATTATTTTTTTTTGCTTGATTTAAATTATAATATTATTTTATATTATAATTTTTTTTTATATTATATTTTTTTTATTTCTATTTATTATATATATATATTTTTTATTAAAACACCTATTTATTAAATTTGAATTTCTTTTATAAATAAAAACATATCTTTTTAAATAATATATATAAATATTTTTTTAATTTCCATATAAACTATAATTTTTTAATAATATATTATATTATTATAAATAAATTTATAATTTATTTTATATTTAAAAAAAATTAATTATTTTGAACATATATTTTTTTGTCAATAAATATAATCAAAATATTTAATGTTAATTTTTTATATAAAAAAATATAATGAATATTTTTTCATATGTATTTTAATGTATTATTCCTTAAAATAACAAATAACCTTTTTTTTAATATAATTGAACATTTTCATACCTACTATTTATAAAAAAAGTTCAAAAATAAATAAAAATTTAACTTAAAAATTAATTACTTTTTAATATTCATCTATTAAAACATTAGAAAAACAAAAAAAGATAATAAAAAAAACATATATTAAAATATAATATTTAAATAAAATAATATAAAATAAAATAATAAAAGAAATGGCAGTAAGAAGACTTTTTGTAGGAGGAAACTGGAAGTGCAACAATACATATAACTAAACATAATCCTTAGTTAAAGACGTGTTAAACAAAATAACATTCGATCCTAAAAAAGTAGACGTAGTTGTATCTCCTGTATTCTTACACGTACCTTGGGTATTAGAAAATGTTTAAAAAAATGTTTAAGTTTCTGTATAAAATACATCATTAACTGGAATGGGAGCATATACAGGTGAAATTAGGTTAAAATTTAAAAATATATAAAAATAAAATATACGAATAAATAAATATATATATTTATAAGTTTATATAAATTTATTTATATATATATATTTTTAATAGTGTAAATCATGTTAAAGATATGGGAATTAAATGGGCTATTTTAGGTCATTCAGAAAGAAGATAATATTACCATGAATCTAATGATGTAGTAGGTAATAAAGTGAAATTAGCTTTAAGTGGAAATTTAGATGTTATTGCTTGTATCGGCGAATAATTGTAAGATAGAGAAACTAATAAAACCAACGATGTCATTAGATCTTAATTAGATGCTATTAGATCTAAATTAAGTGAAAGTGATTGGAATAGAGTTGTCATTGCTTATGAACCTGTTTGGGCTATCGGAACTGGAAAAGTAGCTTCTCCAGCCTAAGCTTAAGAAGTTCATGACTTTATAAGAGGTTATTTGGCATAAAACATATCTAAAAAAGCCTCATAAGATACAAGAATTATCTATGGTGGATCAGTTACAGAAAAAAATAGCAATGAACTAATTGGAATGAAAGACATTGATGGATTTTTAGTTGGAGGAGCTGCACTTAAACCTGCTTTTGCTGATATAATAAAATCTTGTAATGAAGCAAAAAAGTGAATTTATATTTATTTTTTAATATTAATAAAAATATATATATGATTGTTTGCTTAATTATATATTTTATATGATATATAAAATAAACATAAATATTTATTTTATGATAAATAAAAAAAAATTAAATTATTAAAAAATAAAATAAAATAAAATAAAATAAAATAAAGATATTTATATTTATATTTAAATATATATATAATATAATTTATGTATAATTATTAAAAAAAAATCAAATATGTATAAATATATATTTATTTTTAAAGAAAAATATTTGTATATAAAAATTATTTATATTTTTTTATAATAATATTTTTTATATTATATATAGATATATATGTATAATATTTAAAAAAAAATTAATTTTTTTATTTTAACTATAAATATTAGATATTTACTAATAAAATGTTAGTAAACATATACATATTTTAATTTAATTATATATAAAATAATATTTAATTTTAATTTAAATTTAAAATAAATTAGTGATTTCCAAATTTAATTTAATATGTATTTTATTATGTTTTTTTATTTAATTTGTTTGAAAAATTCCATTTAAATATCGTAAATTTAAAATAATTATTTATAATAAAATAAAATATATATATGTATATTTATATAAAAAAAAAAAAAAATTATAATTATTATATATTATAAATTATTTATTATAAATATATATATATTTATAATCTAAAAAATATATACCTAATATTTTATATATATATATGTTTATATTTAAATTTATTTCATAAATAATATTTTTAATTTTTTTTTAATATATATTTAAAATAAAATATTTTATATATTTAAATTATTATATTATATATCATTAATATAATTTATCTTTTTATATTATTTATAAAATAAAAATATAAAATTTATTCAATTATTTTAGTTTACTTTTTGAAATAAAACGTTTATTATATATACCAAATTTTTTTAATCAGTGCTATTTATAAACTATTCATATTTTATATAATTAAAGTTCATTTATCCGTAAGATATAATACAACCTTAATTTAAAATATTACATATATTTAAACAATTCAATATAATTAAAAGTATATATTTTTCTTTTATTAAATTTAAACAATATATTTTATTTAATTCGTTTTAATAAATTAATAAAAATTAAAAAAATTATTAATAGAATTCGTTTAATTTTTCTTTTCTATTTATATAATCTTCAATAATTGGAAGACTTTCACAAATTTAAGATTATTGCTGATATTTGTTTAATAAATATTCTTTTTTATGCATATGAAATTAAAATATTACTTAAATTTTTTAAATAATATTTAAATAAAATGGACAATGATAAAGACAAGATTTTTCTTTTATTTGTATTTTAAAAAGTTTTTCAAATTGAATTTTTTAATTTAAAAAAATATAAATAAAATTAGACTAAAAAAGTTCACAAATTAAACTTAAATTTTTAATTTCTTTTTATTTTTATAATTCATCAGTAATTAATGGTTATTAGATAAATTAAATAAACTATTATAAAATTAAATATATATATATATATATATAAATATATATATATATATATATATATATATATATATATATATATATATATAAATATATTTTTTTTTATAAATATGCTTAATCATATATAAAATTTAATTTTTTACATTTAATAATAGTATATATTGATCTAAATATAGTTTAATTTCTTTTGATTTATCATAATTTTAGGGAAGTTCAATATATTTATTTTATTCTTAAAATTATTTATTATACATTTATTAGTTGAAATATTTAAAATTAAATAATTAGTTCTCCTTTGAAAATTAAGAACAAACTCTGTCATCATTAAATATAGAATACTATAAAATCTAATCTAGTTTAATACTTTATTTAGGATCAAATGTTACCATTTTTGTTATTAATTATTATATTTCTTCAGATAGTTTTTACCTACAATTAAAATTTAATGATACTTTTTAAGATTAATCATTTTTGTTCGGAAATTAATTAGTTAGCATATGATAAAATGTTACTCCAAGACTAATTAAAAATATAAAAATAGTTTTTATAAAAAATAATAAAATAACGAATATATGTCGAATTCATAAGAATATTCTATTTTTTAACAATTTTAAGATATAGGTGAATAATATTAGGTTCCTAAAATTGTATTAGCTTATAAATTTTTATCTCTAAGTTGTTTAGAGCAACCAAAATCTGATATTTTCCATAAAAAACCTTAAATAAGTATATTTTCAGGTTTAATACTTTTTTGTATTAGAAAATAAAAATAAATATAAATATATAAATTTATAAATATATATATATTAATATATATATTTACTCTCTATGTAATATTCTATTATCATGCATTTCTTTTAAACCATTTATTATTTACTTAAAATAAAATCTGAATTCATATTCTTAAATTTATTCGTTTTTTAATCGTTTATTTTTCAAAAATTAATATACAGAACCTCCTTCACAATATTCCATTACTAAAAAATATTAATCTTCATACATAAAAAAATCCTAATATTTAACTATGTTTTAATGATTTAATGATTAATGTATTTTTATTTCGTTTATAAAGTATTATTAATTCAATGAGTCTTTATTTTATTATTATTTTAAAGCATATCTTATATTTTATATTTAATTAATACATAAATATATATAACCAAATCCTCCTTTTCCAATAATTTCTTATATTATATAGTTGCCTATTTTTTAACCTTTTTTAAGTTATTAGAATATATTATCTTATTACATTTTTATGATTTTTTTTGAAATTTGATTGATTTTTTTATTTCACTAATTTTTTTTTTTTTTTATTTATGTGTTTAATAATTTAAAAAAATTAAATTGTTTAAAATTTTAGAAAATTTTTGCGAAACAATAAAATATAATTTATTTTTTGTTAAAAAAAATAAAAAAAAAAACTAAATATATTATTTATATATTAAAAAAATAATATATAAAAATTAATATGATTTTTATTTTAAATATAAATAAATAAAGCTAAAATTTAATTAAAATAAATAAAATACAATAATTTTATTAATTTTACTATCAGAAAAATTACTTATTTTCCTATTTCATTAAATATAATATTAATAACCTTTTATTGCTTTAAATAAAAAAATAACTTCATAAAATTGTTTTTCGGTTAAAAAAACTAAAACATTTAGTTGAAAAAAGGACTTAATTTACCATATTAATTAATTTTAAATACAAAAATAAGAAATTTTATATTTATATTAAATTAAAAAATTCGAATTTTATTTATCAAAATTATCAAAAAAATTAATATTGTAAAAAAATAGGTTTATTTTAGATGATTTTTTTTAAATAAAAAATTTTTAGAAATTCTATTGAAAGGTATATATATATAAATTATTTTTGTCTTCGAACGTACCATTTATTATTAATTATATTTAGTAAATATATTAAATAAAGAAATATAAAAAATTATTAAAAAAATATAAAAGAAACTAATTAATATATAAGTATATATAAAAAAAAATATTATAATATCTAATAATTAAGAAAAAATAATTATATTCGTTTGACAAAATTATAAATAAAATTAAAATTTGTCCATATGCTTAAATAAAAAAAAGTAAATAAAAATCATTAAAAAGAAAAAAAATTAAACTTCGGCATTTATTATAACATCTAATAATAAATATAATATACTTAATTTTATTTTTATAATATATATATATTATTTTATTATTTATGTTAAATATGAATACATGTTATCTTTTGTGTTTAAATTCATTTATATTTAGGATATTAAATATATAAATTTAATTATATATTAATTTTCTTTTAAAAATATTTGCTTCTTTGATAATATAAATTTTAGTTTCCATATTAATTATTATTTAAAAAAGGTCTAAATTAAATTTTTTGCAAAAGTGCAATATGTTTTAGAAATAAAAAATAAAATATTTAATGTAATTTTAAATAGAAAAAATAATAATAAAATAAAAAATGAAAGTTAATAAGCCTATTAAAATAAAAAATATTTTTTTTTAAAATTTTTATTTTAAGTTAAAAAATATTTTCATTTACTTTTCTTAATATTAATTTTTTTTTTTATCTACGTGGATAATTTAAAAGAAGTGTTTTTTTATATTTTATAATATATCGTTAATTATAATTGTAATTTTATTATATTTAGTTATTTAAGCTTTATTTACGTTTAATTATTAGATTTTTTATATAAATAAAGAGAGATTTTTTTTATATTTCATTAAATATTTTTAAAAAAATATGTTAATATAAGTAAAAAAATAAAAAAATATGTAGAAATTATGTTGTTTTAAAAATATATATATCTTATTTTTCTAAATAAGCTTATAAATAAAATAAAAAAAATAAAAAAAATATAAATATAAAAAATATATATATTAAAAATAATAATAATAATAATATATATAATAATTTCTATATATATATAAACAAATATATATTAATATATAAATATATACATAAAAATTAAAATTTTTGTCTTATTTTATATATATAATATATATAAAAATTTAATTTATTTATATATATATATATATATATATATATTTATTTTATATATTTATTTTATATATTTATTTTATATATTTAATTGTGGATATTTTTGAATATAAATAATGTTTATTTTTATTTCAAGTAATTTTTTTTTATTTTTAATATTTTTTAATCAAATGTTATCGATTTTTTAATAATTTTTTATTATTCTTTCATTTTCTTTTTTTTTAAAAATTATTATTATATTCTTTATAAGAAATCATTTTTTTAAAAAAAATTTTCTAATATAAACTAAATTAAATTATTAATATAATTTAATTTTTAATAAAAAAAATATAAATATATATATTAAATAAAAATATAGACACATATAAAAATATTAATTTTTAATTAAAAGAAATAAAGTACTTATAATTAAATAAACTATAAATACATTTTTAATAATATGTATTAATATTTTTATATATTATTCTATAAAAATATATATTTATATATTATATATCATATCCATGGTCTATAAATAATTTTTCCTGCACTCATATTTTTATGATATTCAGTTAAAGCATCGCTTCCATATTCCAAAGGTACTTCTTTATTAACATCAGTTTTTAAATCAGTTTTAATTAACTATTTAACGGTTCCTAATAACTAAATTATTTTTTATTAATCCATATCTTTGATTTAATTAGTAAGCCAATATCCAGTCACAGTTTAACCTTTAAAAATAAGACTAAGAGGAGAAACAGTGACCTATTAGCCTGAAAGAGCTCCATATACGTAAACAGTTGATTTTTAGGGCATATTTTATAGAACTTAGTTTGTTAATTCACCTCCTACGGCATCAAAGAACATTGTTGCGTTCAATTATTCAGCAAGTTCTTTAAGGTTTTTTTCGAAGTCTTCTTTTGTGCTATTTAGGATATACTAAGCACCTTCTTTTTTTAGTGTTTAGACTTGTTCTTCTTTTCTTACTATGTTTATTACGTTTACTCCGTTTTGTTTGAAGTATCTTACCATCATTTTTCCTAAAGAGGATGCTGCGGCAGAATGGATTACTGTTTTTACTTCTTTTTGTTTCACAGTTTCTAACATACATACTACAGTCATTGGGTTTATGAAACTACTGCAGCCTTAAGTATATGAAACATCGTCATTTAAAGGAACAACTGATGTAATGTCAGTTAGAGTGTATTAAGCGTAAGAACCATGGTCTTAACTTACAAAAGCTACTCTTTTATTTAACAAAGATTTAGCATAGTCACTACTGCCTGTTTTTACTACTAAACCAGAACCTTCGAAACCAGGAACGCATGGGAGTTTACGGTTTGTTTAATAGAATCCATTAGTAAATGATAAATCGGAAGGGTTTATGGGAGCTGCTTCTACTTTTACTAATAATTAGTCTGGGTTTTTAGGTTCAGGAATTTCGACTTGTTTTAATTTTAATTAAGTAGAGAATTATTCAAGGATTAAAGCTTTCATTTATTATTTATTATTTTAAGTTTTTTTTTTTTTTTTTATTTTTTTTTTATTATTTTATTATTTTTTTAAAGGTTAATTTTGGATTTATTTTTATAATGAAATTTTATGGCTTTTGTTTTTAAATAAATATCTTTATTTTTATATAGATATAGATATATATATATATATATTAGTAATTTTATTCTTTTATTTTTCTATTTTTCTAATTTTCTATAATTTGCTAAATATATTTTTTATTTATTTTGAATATTTTTTCTTTGATTTTTAGTATTTTGTATATAAATTTTAATATATTAATGTTTTTATATAATTGATTTCTTTTTTGTTTTCATTTTATTTTTTTATTATTATTAGTTTTTTTCTTTTTTTTGATTTCATTTTCTTTTCTTTTATTTTATTATATTTTATTTTATTTTATTTTTTATTTTTTATTATTTAATTTTATTTTTAATATTTTTATTATATTATATTAATTATCTTGTCTTTTTTATTATATTCACTTAATTTTTTTCTTTTTAATTTTTCATTTTATAATTAAATTTATAAAAAAAGTTATTCTTAAATTATTTTTAATTCTCAAATTTTATTGTTTTAGAGTGAATTTTTTTGTAATTATTTGATTATGCTTATATTTATTTTCATTTATATTATTATTTTTAATTATATTTATAATAATTATTTATTTGACTCTATAACTATTAATATAATATTTTTATCTTTTTTTTATTTTTATATAGTTTTATTTTTTTATAATATTAGTTTTTAAAAATATTTCTTTTAATTATATAAAAAAAAAAAATTAAATTTAAAATCCAAAAAATTATAACTATTAATTATTTGTCAACATTAAAAATTTAATTAAAAAATATTAAATTTAATGAATTTATTTATAATAAGAATTATTTTTAAAATACGTATAAATTATTTTAAATTTGTATTTTTAAACTATTTATAAAATAATATGCAATTTTCGAATTAAAAAATAAAATATATAAATCATTTTATTTTTTAATAAAACTGTATTAATAAAATATTTTGTATGATATTTTATATTATTTATGATATTAAATTCAAATATATATATATATATTTATTAAAATAAATTAAATTTGATAAAAATAAATAATATTAATATAAATTTTATTTATTAAAATCTAAATAATTATTTTAATAAATTATAAATATAAATAATTAATTAAATAACTAAAAAAATAATCTAATTATAATTTTATTTTTTATAAAAAAATGAAAATTAAAATCATATAAAAAAACTTTTAATGAATTAAAATAATAATTATGAAAAATATTTTTATTTTAAAAATATATTTTTAATAATATTTATTAAAGAAATGTTTTTTTGTATATTTTTTTATTTTAATAAAATAGATTAAAAAAAATAAAAATAAGCAAAAAATGTAAATGAACATTTTTTAATAAATAAAAAGCTAAATAATTATTCAAATAAAAAAAATTAATCAAAGAATATTAATAAAAACGCGAAATTATACATCTGAACTCTATATAACTATAATATGTTTAGAAATAAAAAAGTCAGTTTAGCTAATATATAAAATAATTGATATAGTAATAAACACATATCTATTGTATTTTTAGTTTTGTTAATAATAAATATAATTTAAATTTAATTTAACATTTTAATAATAATAAATAATATCAACATTTATAATAATGGATTGTATATAGATATTATGTAAAAAAGTAAATCACAAGGATTATAGAATTCTAGTATTATCAAATATATTAGGAGGAATATTAGACATATTGTATATAAATAATATATTAATATTTAATAACTACAGTAAAATACAAATTATGAATATTTATATAACATTGCTTAAACAAAAGTATATAAATATTTAGATTAAAAAGACACAGAGAGAAATATTATCATCATAAATATGAAATATAAAATAATGTGTTTTTTAGAAATTTGCTTTTTATCATATATTATATGTAATAGAATATTTAAATTACATAAAACTTATTGTGATGTATGCGAATTTTTAAGAAAAATTTTAAAAAGTATAAATAATAATAAAAAAAAAAAAATTAAGATAAAGTTAAAATACTTAAAAATAATAAAGAATAAAAAGAAAATAATAATAATAAAAAAAATTATAATAAAAATAATAATAAAATTAAAAATAATAATAATAATAATAATAATAATAATAATAAAAATAATAAAAATAGAAATATTCTTAATAATTTTATATATTGTTAAAATATTTAAAATAGTATAGAAATTTCATAAAAATAGGATTAAAATATATTAAAGATTAATAATAATTAAAAATACATAAATCATTTTTTTAATAATTAATAATAAAAAATTGAAATTTCTTAAGAAATAAATAGTATCCCTGATTTAATTTAATTAAATGTTTAAAATATAATTAATAATAATAATATAAAAGAAAACATAATTAATTAAAATTATTATTTAAATAATAGTTTTTATAAATAAAAAGGCAGCATTTAAAGAAACAATTAAAAAAAATCAATTATAAATAGTCCTAAAAAAAAATCTAATTAAAAGAAAGTTTCTTTAAAAAATAATTTATAAATAATTTAATAAGACAGTAATTCTTAATTTAATATAAATTAAGAAATAATTGATTAAAATAGATCATTTTAACTTGAAAATTCACTAAAAAATGAAATTAGTATAGAGAATAATATATTGCCTATAGTACTGCATTTTTAATCTCATAATTAATAAAAGTTTGAAATAAGAATTTATTCATTAGAATTTTTCGATTAAATTTTTGATTAAAATATTTTCTAGCATGGAATCGGGATAGAAGAGGCTATTGAAATCAAAATTTAATTGATATAAAAGTTAATGAATTAATATTTTAATTATGAAAGTTTGTATTTTATTCTTTTTTAAAAAATGTAACAATATATTAAAATTTATACTTAGCTTTAAATTAATAATAATTAGCAGTTTTTTATTTAGTTTTTTGAAAAATCTTAAAATAAATGTTAATATTATTTACCTTTAGAAAATAATTTTAATATAATTGTTTGAGATTATTATATATTATATGTATTTTTTAATTACTTTTGTTCAAAAAATATTTTTTTTTCAATTTTAAAAATAAAACAAATTTATATATATTAAAAAAAAATTAAAAAAAAAAAAAAAAAAACTTTAAAAAAAAAAAATATAAAAATATTTAGGATATATAATTATCAAAAATAAAAAAATAAACAAATAAAAAATAATATAATAATATAATAATAGAAGAAAAAAAAAATAAAAAAAAAAATGAGCAATTTAACAAGAAAATAAAAAGACGTATTAAGACTTTTAGCATCTAAAGTAAAAAAATAAAATAAAAAAATAAACAAACCTTAAATAACAAAAAAAAAAAAAAAAAGTGTCATCTCGGAACTACCAACTTAAACAACTAAATGAACAGATATATATCTCATAAGAGTGCCAATGGTCTTCATATAATTAACGTCGAAGAAACCTGGTAAAAAATTAAACTCGCCGCCAGAATTATTGCAGCAGTCGGTCATCATAATGACGCTATGGTAAAAATATATATAAATAAATTTATATCTATATATATATATAAATATATATTTAAATATATAAAAAAAGGTTGTATGCTCTAGAGTATATGGATAAAGAGCTGCTATTAAATTCGCAGGATATGTAAAATGCAAATCTACATCATCATCTAGATGGACACCTGGTATTTTATAATTAATTTAAAAAAGTATTTATTTTTATTTAGGTACCTTAACTAACTATTAGACTTTAAAATATGAAGAGCCAAGAGTTCTTATTGTTACTGATCCCAGAACTGATTATTAAGCTATTTAAGAAGCTAGTTATGTAGGAATTCCTGTTATTGCTTTATGTGATAGTGATTCTCCTTTACATTACGTTGATGTTGCTATTCCTTGTAATAATAGATCAACTGAATCAATCTCTATGATCTATTGGTTACTTGCTAGAGAAGTAAAAATCTTAAGAGGTGAATTAGATAAAAATTAAGCTTGGGAAGTTATGGTAGATCTCTTTTACCACAAAACTTTACCTACTCATGAAGAAAAATAATAAGTAGAAGAAAATAATGAAGAATAATAAAATTAAGCTGAAAATAAAGAAACTCCTTAAGCTGAATAAGGTATTTATAATATAAATATTTTTATATAAACTATATATTTTTTTTTTTTAGTTGCAGATTTTTGACAAAAGTACATGTATTTAAAAAAAAAACACATTTTTATTTTTTAATAAAGTTTTAGCAAGTTGTTTTTAATTAATATTTATTAAAAATTTTTGTGATTTTTTTATTAAATATATGTATTATGTTTTTATTCTAATTATAATATTTAAACCCATTTACAATATCTTTTTTTATGTTTAAAAAAAATAGATAATCAAATAAGAATATTTATAAATAAATTACATAAGAAAAGAAATATAATATATATAAATATAAATTAATATAAATAAATATATGAATTAATATATTTTTAAATATATATAAATAAATATTTTTTTAGTACAAATTAATTTCTCTTAATCCATCATTATTTTTTACGTTTTTTTTTTTATATATTATATTTTTTATGTTTAATTTAGTTTAAATTATTTATTTATTTTTATTTTTAAAATTTAATTTATTTTATTTTATCAAAAATATATTTTTTTATTTTATTTTTTTATACAAATGTATTTAATCTAATAATTAAAAAACCTAATTTATAAATAATCATATTATTTTTATTTTATTTAATTTTTAAAAGTTTAGTTTTTTTATTTATATTCATCCTCCAATCTTTATATTTTAATATTTTTTTTTATTTATTATTATTGAATATATATTATAAACATATATATTAAAATTTAATAATTTATATATTTAAATAAAAACTACATTTTCTACATAAAATATAGACCATTTTATTTAAATAAGAGACACAATATGATTTAAATTGATGATGATAAGTAAATTTTAAAAAGTATAAAAAAAAAATGATTTTTTTTATTTTATTTTATTTAAATAAAAATAAAAAAATGTCTATTATTATTATAAAAAAAAAAATTATAAGATTTATTCTAAAATGCATTATAATTTATTCCTTAAAAAAATCAGCCAATTAATATAAACGAATTTGTATTTCAATAAAATTAAGAACCTACATAAAAAATAAACAATATTATACATAATTAAAACAACCTAGAATAAACAAAACCTTAAATAAGTAAAAAAATGAACGAATAAAATGAATTCTTTTTTAATTTAAAAAAAAAAAATTCATTAAAAAAAATGAAAAGCCTCTAATAATAGAAAATAAATAATATATCTTAAATATAAATTAGTAAATCTAATAACAATTTAAGTAATTAAAATATTGATTCTTAATCTAATAATAAAAAAAGTGTATAAATTGCTGATAAATAATCTCAATATTTAACTAAAAACGATATTTATTCAAAATAAAATCCCTATTCGGCTTTTTGGGCTGATATTGTATTAAAAAATCACTATAGTGTGGCTTTAAAGTAGGTTGAAAGGAATAAAGTTAAGAGATGGACTTTAAGGAAATTTAAATTATCGTAAGGCGAAATTATTGGGGAGACTTTTAATTAGGTTTAGGAGAAAAATTAGTAGGATTTAAAGGTATTTTAGAAGGAAAGTGTAGGAAAAAAAAAATAGTTTTAAATTAAGAAATTTAAATAGAAACATAATTATGAATATCTAAATTTGGGATTTTTAAATGTAATAATTAATTAGTAAAAAAAAATTATAGTTTAAGATTATTTAGTTGATTTTTAAGAACTTTTTGATACTTTAAGGCTCGATTAGGCCTTTGTTTAGGAAAATCTGTAAAAAATAATTAAGGAAGGAAAAATTATGTTGAAAATTAGAAATTTATGGGGGCATATATGGATTTTATGTTATAAAACTTGTATTTTTTACCTGTTTTTGATGTTAATTTTAAAAGAAATATGGAAAAAACTATATATATAAATAAATTACTTATTGGAAACATTTGAAATTATTTGTTAATTTATTTTAGTAAAAATAAAAAATATAATAATATTTTTTTTTTTTTTAAAAAAAAAAATGATTAATTTATTTTTCGAATTTTTTTTCTTTTTTGCTTGTTTAATAGTTTTTTTTTTTTTATTTTTTTTTTTAAAAAAATATAAAAAAATATTATAGATTACTTTGATTTTTTTTATATAACCTTTTTTTGTTAATTTACTTTATTTTAATTTTTTTTCATAAAAATTAATATGTCAAGTTTACGGCTTTTTATAAAATATTGTGAAAAGCATTTAAATCATATCCAAAAAATTCTTTTATTTTTATATTTTTTTATAAAAAAAATAAAAAAAATTTAATATATATTTGTATAAATGAATTTAAATTTTATAAAAAAAATAAATAAAAAAATTATATACTATCAATCATTTATCCTCTATAAAATAAAAATACTGTTGGAAGTCCTTCTAACTATATATATTTAAAAAAATCAAATATACATATACATTTATTTTTAACTTAAAATCCCTCAGTAAATTCTTAATTATCGTCAATATCTATTTGATAATAATCTACATATTATAAATATTACTAAAGTATGTTTCTCTTTTCTAACTGTAATTCTTGACATGGTGGACACCAACTTATCATATATACAAATTTTATTAATTAAATATGATAGATAAAAAATGTTAAAACTCGGCAAAAAATTCTAATAAAACTGGCTTTTTATTTTTTAAGACTTTTTATTCATAGTCTTCACCTGAAATAATTTGAGTGTGGTTCATATTTTTTGATTTTTTGTTAAATTATATTTAAATTTCTATAATTATTAGAATTTTATTTTTAATTAAATAATTAAATAATATAATAATTTTAAAAAGTTTTTAATGTTTTATCTTTTAATAATATAAAAAAAAAATAATGACATAATTTAATTTTGTTATATTTAAAAAAAAAATTATGTTAATTATAGTTTTTGTAAATTTAAAAATTATTAGACAAAATACAATATATATATATAAATATAAAATATAAAAAAATAAATATATTAATATATATCAATAAATATATATAAATATATATATATATATATATTATATATAATTATTATATTTATATTTATAAATATATATTCATTTTAATTTTATAAAAATAAAATATAACTTTTATAAATTTTTGTTTTAAAATTATATAATTTTATTATTTTTAAATATTTTTTTTTTTTTAATGTTTAATTTTAATAAATATCTTTTATTCTTTTAAATTTATATATATTATTAAATAAAATATTTTATATTTTTTTTTATTTTCTATTTTTCTTATGCATTTCAAATTTTTAATATTAAAATCATACTATTATTTTTTATAAATTAATTCATATTTTATAATTTATTTAATATTGTTTAACAAAATATTTTTTATAATTTTTTAAGTTTTAATTAAAATAAATTATTATCTTTTATAAAAATATAATGTATTTAAAATATAATATAATAAATTTATTTTAAAATAATGAAAAATAAATTTTGTTATTATTTTATATATATAAAAAAAAATTATATAAATATAATATATATTATAATAATTATTTTTTAAAAATATATAATTTTATTTTTTAAAAAGCAATTAATTTATAATATTAATATCAAGAAATAAAGTCTTTACTTTTTTTTAATTTTGTTTTTAAAATAAAATTATAAATAAAATTAAAATTAATAAAAAGTAATATATTTAAAAAATAAATATTATTACTAATCTTTACACATAATTATTTAATATATCTATTGATTTATTTTATTAAATAAGTTCATTATTTCTCAAATTATCACTCTTATTATTATTCTTATTATTACTCTTATTATTATTCGCATTATTACTCACTTTGTTACTCACATTATTTCTCAGAATTTTCTCAGATTATTTCTCAGATTATTTTCGCAGCTTTTTCCTTCCAAGTTTTCCTCTTCTTATACTTCTGATATAGTTTTTTGTGCTTACTATTGATGAAATTTAAGATCTTTCTTTCTATCCTGAGCTACTTCCTTAACTATATTAATTTTATCCATCTATCGATCCTACTGTATAATGGAATCCTTACGATGAATCGGACCTAAGTTTACTCTACCCAGCGAAAAGAGGGTCCCTAATAACAAATGAATGTAACTAATCTTCAGTATTTTCTGCAACTTCGTCTTTTGTAAGATAAGGAATTCTTAAAGGCTTTACAAATAAAGACTTAGTTTTATCTCTAATAGCTGTAAAATCATCTATTAAATCCCTACTATTTTTAAATTCTTCTTAAGAAGGCGATTTTTTTAATGTAGGGACGAAATAGGGATGTTTTTAAACATCAAAAATTGATATTCTTACAGAAGGATCTTTTTCGAGCATTTTTATGAGTAAATCTTTACAATCTATAGATACATTTTCTAGTTCTTTTCTTTCAAAATCTATAATACATTCTTTATTTTTTCTTAAAACTTCATTAAACTTTTGCCCTTGAAAAACAGCTTCTCCAGTTAATCTTATTTATAAAATATATATATATATAAAAAAAAAAAACTTATATATATTTTAAAAAAATATTACAATATATAAAAAATTATTCCAGCCGAAAAAACATCACATATGACTGAATATCTTTATGTTTTATCTATTAAATTAGCTATTTCAGGTGCCACAAAGCCGGGAGTTCCACATTTTGGGAACATATAAGGGGATTCATCTGCAAATGTACCCAATCCAAAATCGACTATTTTTAGTATTTATTAATTACCTTTTTTTGCAAAAGGTATATTTTCAGGTTTTAAATCTCTATGCATGATATTTTTATTAGAATAATATACTATTCCATCTACTAACATTTTAAATATATCTTTTATTTCTTAATCTGTAAAAGGAGTTTAGGAATGCTTTTTTATTTCATCATATAATGATGTACCTTCAACTATTTCCATTACTAAATATAAGTTGTTTTAACCTTCATACATTTCTATAAGTTTTATTATGTTATCGTGATCTGTTAAATTTCTCATTACTTTTATTTCATTGTATAGAGAAAGCTATTTTTATTATTATATTATAAAAAAAAAAATCGGTGTTTTTTACCATTCCTTTATCTTATGATTCTAATTTTTATTTTTCAAAACATTTAACTGCAAATTTTTTACCAGTAGTTTTATGTATAGCTGAAAATACCTTATTTTATTTAATTTAGTTTTATTTATATATATAAATAAATAATTAAATAATATATAAATATATATATATATATATTTATTTATTTATTTATATATATACATATATATATATTTTTTTTTAATAATTACTCTTGCATAATTACCTTTTCCGATTTATGATTAAATATCATATTCATTTTAAAATTTGGCCTAAAATATTTATTAGCAAAAAATAAATTTTAGTTTTATCAAAACGACTTCTTCACCTAAATAATTTTAAGTTTTTTTCCCTTATTTTAATTAAAATCCGAGAAGTTTAGTTTGATTTTTATTCTTTTAATACTACCACGTTATTAGATCATTTGGTTTTAATTCAAATATTTTAGCAGGTATTTTTTAATATGGTTACTTTAATATAAATATATATAAATATATATATATATATATATATATATATATA